TAGAACACGTTTTTTTTTTTAAAGTAAAAACTTTTAAATTAAAAGAGATACAAGGAATAAAAGAATTTATTTCTTAACTATCTTAAAATCTGCACTCCATGCACTAGTTAGGCCCCAAACAAAATGGATCTCTGGTTCAGCTTAGAAAACAGCAATGATAATTTTGAAGAAATAACTTTGAATTCCCCAATTCATGATTTCCCAATTCATGCCATGGAACTTCAAAACTTCACTTTAACTCTGAATCAGGTTATAAATCAAATTCTGGACAAAAGACAGATTTAGGCTTAAATTCCAATGCAGGCAGAAAAATAGATTCTTCAAATCACAAACTCCGTGGAAATTCAATTGGGTTGAGTTCTTCAAATCACAAATTGCAGAATTTCTAAAAATCATGTCATGAAACCTCTCATGTTAACTCCGATTCCTTGGCATTTTGAAGAAATAAAATTAATTCCTCAATTCAAAAAACTTTTGAGATATTTTAAACTGAATTTTTACAAAATTTTTACAAAAATTTTTAAAAATTCAAATTTCTGTGTTACTTTAAACTCAATATAATTAAAAACTCTTAAAATCACTAATTTTTTTCAGTTATTTTAAAATTTGAATTTTTAACTGTCCCCTCCTCATCCAACCAAAAATCCCAATGCTGGATGTTCAAGCACCTGATCCCAAAAAGGTATAATATGTCTATGTAGAGCAAGTATGGCCTGAGTTAGAGTTGGATTTCAGACACATGAACGGACAGACAGAATTTGCTGTTTATTTATTTAAATGGTGTTTTGTCATTTCTAATAATGATGATTATTTCTTTAACAATTTAATTTTTGTTCTGTTTGCATGAGTTTTCATCTTATCTCCAAAAATATAACATTGTATTTAATGACATAAGAACTCTCACACACAGTTTCCCCGCAACCCACAAAATAGTTAAAGAAAAATATCCCCCAGCTGAGATATCCGGTAGCCTAATCTTTACCCAAAGGCTTCAAATATGACTTCTGTCTAGCCTACATAATTTATAAAAAAAAAAAAAAAAAAAAAAAAAATAGTTGCAAATTGTTACCAAGTACGCCCATCTGCTTAGGTGAATAGCTAATACCTGTTGCAGATGCCTGCCCAGTCATATTTACACTGAAACTATACTAAGCAAACCTTAGATACCATCTCTAGAAGAGAGTGCACAAGTTGGCATGATCAGTAGTTGCACAAAATCAGTATGCATGAACACTCAGACACGATGACTTGCAACATCATGCTAGCACAATTTGTTGTTTTCAGGTATTTGTGTCTATCTACTTTCCCTCACAATTCTTGGGTCGACCAGTGATATGGTTTTTAGGCACTTCCTAACAGTGCTACACCCTAAGACAAGAAATTTACACATTTTTGACAGGCATCAAAAATGTGTAAATTTCTTTTCATTTTTTGTTCCAACCTTTGGAAGTAAAGTCTGATGATCTGCAGTCCTTTAAAAGGGCCGTGGTGAATATAATTTATTACATGGAACCTTAAAGTGGTCTGTTTTTATTTAAATTATTTGCTCTGGATTTACATTGAGCTCTCTGGATTTTATCCTCCTTGGGTTTACCCATACGGATTACCTAGTTTTTTTTTATATATATATATATATATATATATATATATATATATATATAAGCAAAAATATATGGATATAGATCCGACAGTATGAAGAAAAATATATACGGAAAAACAAAGAAAAATTTATATACAATTTATACTGTTTTAATGTTAATATGTCAACGTCGGACGTTTCCGGTCTAATAAACCATCTTCAGGACATATTCATAAATTATAACATTATCAATACAACATGACAAAGTCTTTGTACATAAGGACAAGTTATCAAACAAATAATTGATAATGTTATAAAACTTTATTTATGAATATGTCCTGAAGATGGTTTATTAGACCTAAACGTCCGACGTTGACATATTAACATTAAAACAGCATAAATTGTATATAAGGATTTTTGTTTGTTTTTTCTGTATATATTTTTCTTCATATATATATATATATATATATATATATATAATACTGTAATATTAAAAGCAAGCTCCAAAGGTTGTTATAGAAGGGGTGGGCAGTGGGGATAAGCTCCTAGTTCTCTATGAAATGCCCCCAAGTTACATTGATTTGGGCATGTTTCAGTTTAATATTTACAACCTGTTCAACTTCTCCCACTGATAAGAGAAGCAGGATTGGGAAAAAAGTGGGTTATTGGTGACCTAAAACCAATTACTTTGGGCTTCAGGCAGATGGGGCATGTAAACATGGGCTGGTATCATGTCTAAGTGAAAGGAAAACACTGATTTAAAACCTCAGCTGTCTTCCAGCTACACTTGCTCCTGGGAATCCGCCCCTGTAGCTATACCTGCTCATGAGCTATGGGATCAACCCCAAAGAAAGATATGGAGTGAATGTATCTAAAGCAGTCTGTCACTATATTCAGCAATGTCCCATGACAGTGATGGAACCATGTGTATTGACATTTTCCTTAAACAATGGATCATTTCTGAGATGTGGAGAGAGGGAAACCAACTGCATAACTAACATCTTGTCTCCCATATCCACCAACCCAGGCCTTGTGCCCTGGGGGAAAAGGAAGAAGTCTACCAGACAGACTAGCATCAAACCTTATCTACCTAATGTATGGGAGAGACTGGCATTCTTAAACAGGCCTGTCAAACCAAAATGGACACAGCACCTAAAGCATCATTCCGGACATCGTCCCCTGAGGCTGACAGATGCCTACCAACAAACATAAATGAATGAGATTAGTATGCCACCAAAAAATATAGTATTGGTTTGGTGCTTAATTATCAGGCGTTATATTTCTTTTTTCATAATATAGTTTAAAAACGCCTGATAATTATGCACCAACCCAATAGTTTCCAAACAACCTAATAAATTTGCCTCTATCTTTACAGAACAATCTCTTCTCTCTTCTATGAGCTGTGTCCCTTCGGGACATTGGAAATCATGACTCTCAACAATTTCCTATCCCTTGTAACTCTTAATAAATTTTGCCTATTTGTTATCTCTCCTAAAACTTGTTCTGCTATCCATTTACTCAAGCTCGCTAGATAGGTTATACATTGGTTTTCTCTGTCCCTCTTGCCTTCAGTCTGTCCTGTGAGTGTCAAATTTTCCAAGCCCTCTTTCCTCATTATGTACCCTAGAAATTTCAACTGTCTTTTTCTGATATTAAGTAATGAACATTAATCCTTATATGTTGGGTAAGACTTGTATCACTAAATCATTATCTCAAAAAAAAAAAAAAAAAAAAAAAACCCTTCCAATCTAAAAATATTTTCTGGCTTTAAATAACCTGCAAAGGGTTGATAAGTCATAGAAAACAAATCTATCAATGAAATACTGATTAGCTACACAGGCATGTCTTCAGATTTATCTAATATAATTTTATAGAAACCATCATGACCACAAAGTGAGGAATCAGTTTATATATTGATTGTAATATAGAATTGATCCCCCACCTTATATCCACATTATAATTTCTTGTTTGTTTATCAAATTCTGATTAGGTATGAATTCACTCAACTCCTCCAGCTATGGGTTAATTAGTAAAATTTGTATCATTAAATCATTACTATCTCAAAAAAAAAAAAAAAATCCCTACAATCTAAAAATATTTTCTGGCTTTAACCTGCAAAGGGTTGATAACCTGTAAAAAACAAATCAATGAATTAAATGCTGGGAAATGATTGTACAAACTTGCACACCAAATGTGTGAACAAGCAAGAAAATACTTTTTTTAAATTAACGTTTTTATGCTTTTTGCTTTAATTATATACATATCTATTAAAATTATTCTTTTTACTCTTTTTACGTTATAAAAATAAATAAAGAAAATAAATAAAGAAAATAAAAATAAATAAATAAAATAAAGAGAAAATAAACAGTCTGATACGACTGTTTATTTCCTCTTTATTTTTTAATTTTCTTTATTTATTTTATTTTCTTTCTTTATTTATTTTTATAATCTAAAAAGAGTAAAAACATAATTTTAATAGATTTGTATATAATTAAAGCATGTGACGTATCCTTGAAGCATTCCATGTTCAATGGAGTTGTGCATTCTTTGCAGTAATTGTCACCATTTTTCATCCCTTTTCTCTTTGAGAAGTACATATGCAGACATAGCATTGTCTTTTACTTGCTCATCCAGCTTTATTTGGAAGCAAATACTTCAGGAAATGATGTTGTCAGCTCATGAATCCTAGTAAATAGTAACTTCATGTTAGAGTTGCCAATTAGACATTTAAATTCCAAATGAATGAAACCCATATCATTGACAAAAATGTTGAAATCATTAATTGATGATATCAGGTGAAATATCAGTTGATGATGGCCTCCATTCAAGAGTTGATCTGTGTGTCTAGTTTACCGATATCACAACTTTGTGATTCCTTCAGAAACAAAAGACCAAATTTTGCAATAATTATCAGGAAGGAAAAAAAACATAAAAGAAATTCAAAAATAAAGACAGGAAAACTTTGAATTTGTGCAAGTGTAAACATTTTAGTTCAGGGGAAAAAATTCTCATAGATACATTCAGTGAATTAACTTCATTGAAATTCAAAAGACAGAATTGTAGATTTTTTTTTGTTTTTTCTCATCTTTCAACAGTCTTCCCTTTTTTTGTTTTTTTTTAAAAATAAACAAATTAAGATATGTAAATATAAATAAACAATAACAAATATTTACCCTTTCACTTTAACTGTATGACAAATATAATCAATAAATAGTTTAAAAAAAAAAAAAAAAGAAAAAAGTTTTCCATCTGGATAATTTTTGCCGTGTGTAGTTTGTGAGTGGAAAAATTGCTTTTCTGCAAATTTTTTCTTGTGGGTAATTGAAAAAAAAAAAAAAAAGAATAATAAAAAAAATGAAAAAGAGAGACATTTAAAAATGAAAACATCACAGAAATTCAAGATTGGAAAAAAAAGAATGAATTAAAATCTGAAAGAAAATGGTGGTGATGGTGAGGAAGGAGAAAGAGTAAAAGGAGGAAGAGGCACAGTTAAAAAAGAGCAGTAGTAAAAGAAAAAGAAGTATAAAGAGGACGAGACATAGAAAAATGAAGGGGAAGAGGTGAAGGAGCAGTAAAAAAAAAGGAAGAGGAATAAAGAGGGAGAAGGGTTAAAGAAGGAGTAAGGAAAATGGAGTGAAAGGAGGAGGTAGAATGAAAGAAAGACGAGGAATAACAGGAGGAGCAGTAAAAATTGAAAAGGAATAAAAAGAGGAAGAGGAGCAATAAAAACAAAGGGGAATTTAAAAGAGGAGGAGGAGATGGAACAGTAAAAACTAACAGGAATAAAAGGGGTGAAGGAAAAGGAGTAATAGAAAGAGGAAGAGTTAAAGAAGGAGTGAAAAGAGGAAGGAGAGTAAAAGAAAGAAGAGGAATAAAAGGAGGAGGAGGAACAGGTAAAAAATGAAGAGGAATACAAAAAGGGGCAGAACTGGAGGAGCTGTAAAAAGAAAGGAGCAAGGAGAAAAGAAGAAGTAAAAGTATGAGGAGAGTAAAGAAGAGAGAGAGAGAGACAAAGGCACTATGGAAAACATGGAATGCAATAAAGCAAGGCAATGATTGGAAGAAAAATGTTAAAATATCAAGCAGGCCTCAGTTAAAAATTGACTTCATTATCATAGTCCTTTGATTGCTGAGGGGATTCACTGGACTTGCTATCCCCCCAGGCTGCAGCTACATCCTGCTGCACAACTTCTTCATCAGCACTACTTGCATAGGGTTCATCCTCATAGACATACTCGTCTTCATCTTCGACCTCTGAATTTTCATCAAAAAGGTAGTCATTGTCCGCTTCGTAATGCAACTCTTTTTCTCTGTCCAATGTACCATCAGAGTCATTGCTCATCTCAAACAGCTCCCTGTAAAAACAAAGTCAGACTTTTGACCAAATCAAAAATTCACAAGTAAAGAAATGATTCCTCTCTTACTAGTAGCAGCAATAGTAGACATAGTAGTAATTGTAGTAGATGGAATGGCTTTTATTTCATATTTCTGACATCAAACATTTTATATATGAAGGTTCCACTAGATTTTACTGATCCGTCCTTATAGTGTCAGTTGGAATTGAGGAAGTCAGTCTCAGTCTGCCTGTGACAGGGGACAGACCATCTCTTGGATAGTATCAATACTGCCCAATCATGATGTCCAGATGGGCAGAGAGTTGGTACGAGGGAACAGCTGATGTCTGAGACTAACATAGAAGAAGGCTGTCCCAAGCATTACCTAACTATTGAGACAGAGAAATGAAGCCACAGATAAAATATCTATTGGCTGGTTGACAGAAAGCTGAATGAGGGTCACATTGTATGTTTATATCGCTTATTAAAACACGAGAAACAGTTAAATGAGAAATTTATTTGAATTATTCTATTTTAATAATTGGAATTTTTTAAATGAAAATTATGATTTTTGACACAGTATACAGGCTACAAGTATTTTTTTTCTAAAATCACAAGCCCCATTATCCATTAGGGTAGTAAGAGCAGCACTTGTACTGCAGCCATAGCAGTAGTGGTGTGTCTTGGGCAAAATAAACTCACAGAGCCCAACCCACTTCAGTCTGGTTTGAATTCAGAGATTTCCTTCTCCTAGACTGGCTCCCAACCAAGGTTATAGAACCTAGTTTATCTTCTATTTATATAGCTGAGGGGAAGAAGAGATGGATTCATACCTTTCCCAAGGGCATTAATGCATAGGTGAATGTAAGAAACTTGACCTGGATTCGAACTCAGTTCCCCGATTTCTCATTCAGTGCTGCTATTCATTACACCTCCCACATATATTTTCTAAAATAGCAAACACCATAATGTCCAATAAAATAATCAAAGATGTTATTTTTACATCTTTTTTTGTTCTTTAAACAATCTAGGAAATAGTAGCCATTTATCTGATTTTCATAAAGAATTTGGCATTTCATCATATAATCTTCTTACAAGTCTAACCCGGGCCATATGACACATCTAGATTTTGGTATCGCCCTCAAAATATATAGCATTATATTAAGGTACACTTTGTACAAGGTCCAGGGACCACTTAAGGTAGAGAGTTACTAGTTTATATGGATTGAAGGGGAAGATAACGATTAACCCTAGACTTGAACAGGTTAACATTGTAGTGATCAGGAAAACATCCTCTTGAGAGTCTGTTTCACAGAGCAGTGCTTCATGGGAAGAAGCTGTTTGAGTGGAACTTACTTCTTGCCAATGGAATACAGAGAGAACATGGATGGTTTGCTACTATGTAAGTGGCATTGTAGGTCCTGGCCATGAAGGTTAGACCTGGTGGAACCAAGGAATGTAGTTCGTCCAAGTACTTTCTATGGAAGCAGCGATAGAGCAATGAGAGGCTTGCCACATCCAGCTTGTGAGAGAGAGGTTGGAAGGGGAAAAATAATTCTTCTCCCTCAAGGACTCAAAGATGCTTTCAACTCTATCAAGACTGGAAAGTGAGGACTGGGCAGCTCCCCCCCCCCCGAATATGGCAACAGTATTCCATTTTTGGCCTGATCTGGCTCTTATAAAAGGAGAGAATAGCATGAGGAAAGTACTTACTGGAGCAAGTACCAAATTCATCAGGCTGATGCAAAGTTCCCAGCACAAGATTTTATACAATGTTAAGGAAATCTTAGAAGTGTCTTTTAAAGCTTGGAAGTACTGCTCCAGTAAGTACCCGACTCCTCATGGGAGCTGATCCTTTTACCCGCATCTTTAGCAATGGATTGTATATAAGAGTTCCACTTGAGGTCAGTGTGAGATTGAGGACCAATATTTTCGTAAGGCACGGGGACATCCATTCATCATGACAGATGGCAGTTTGGTGCCTGATCAGTGGTGATCGAATGTATCTATTTTGGTTTTCAAGGCATTGTATGTAACCAGACAGTTTTTGTTGCAAAACTCTACAGTGTGTTTAATCAAAAGGTTTTCAATAAACGACACTGTTTATTTTTGTGAAATCACTCTCAAAATTGGAAAGGAATCACTAGGAATTGGAAGACGAGATATTTTGAGAGTAATTCTAAATCCTGAATCAATTTCTCACAAGATACTTGTCAGCTGTTCCAGGACTATGATTGCTTTCACAGCCTTCACAACCATCAACAAATTGTCTTGAATCACTATCAAAATCACTTTCAGAGAAAGAAGACCCAAGGCAAAGAAATTTCTCACATGATATCTTGCCAGCTGCTTCAGGACAATCATTGTTTTCATTGCCTTCATCACCATCTACAAATTGCCTTGAATCACTATCTAGTTCAATATGGGAGTAAAGATTTTGCTCAAAGAAGTTTCCCATGAGATCTCTCATCAACCACTCTATGACAATCATTGCTTTATACTGACTTTATCTCTATCTACAAATAGCCTTGAATCACTATCCAATTCAATATGGAAGTAAAGATTTTGGTCAGTTTCCCCATGAGATCTCTCATCAACCACTCTATGACAATCATTGCTTTATACTGACTTTATCTCTATCTACAAATAGCCTTGAATCACTATCCAATTCAATATGGAAGTAAAGATTTTGGTCAGTTTCCCATGAGATCTCTCATCAACCACTCTATGACAATCATTGCTTTATACTGACTTTATCTATATCTACAAATTATCTTGAATCAATAATTCACAGCTTTAATTTAAAAAAATTACAGAAATTACCAAAATATATTGCAATCCCTCAGTAGCATAGCTGTAATGTGCACAACTATTTTAAAATTCCATTATGTTGGCTATTTTGTGCAATCTAATGTACACTTACCAATAGTAGGCACAAAAATGTCAATCTTCTAAAAATATATAGAACTAGAATTCATTACTATCTCAAAGAAATTCAACTGCACCATGTATAGCAGAAGCAGTTACAGTCAATATATGTCACATTGATATCTCCTCAGGTGATCTTTAAATAAATAAAAAACAAAAAAATAAAGAAAGGAAATTTGTTATGAGATAACTGTTATCAGAAAAATTTATATCCAGATCTCAAGGGGAACTTGTACATATGATCCATGGCTAAAAATGCTAAAATAATAGTCAGTCCCCTGTTCCACTCCAGTAAGTACCTGACTTCTTTTACTTTGTAGAAAGAAGATTGATGGGACATTGTTACACATTAAAATATAATCAATCAATAATAGAGGTGAAGAACAAAAAAATAATGAAAATTAAAGAAAAAAGAGAATTTGTCTTCACCTGCTAACATTGCCACTGGTCTCCTCGGACAAGCACAGAGAAGATGGATCAGCCGAGACCATGCTGCTAACCTCAATTTCTACATTTGGCACTAAAGCAAGTTGTAAGACAGATTCACAAAAGCGATGACCCATCTCATGCAGATGATGTGTGCTGACATGAGTATTCTGCAGAAAAATGTAAAAAAAAAAAATTTCTTCAGAAAAATCACCAAATTCATCAGGCTGATGCAAAAGTTCCCAGCACAAGATTTTATACAATGTTAAGGAAATCTAAGAAGTGTCTTTAAAGCTTACTTACCCACTTATTGCGTGAATTTAAAAGGGGGATAATTTTATTTGGGAGAAACTCATAGTATAAAATGAATATTCAATGTTACTCTTCATGCTTAATCTGAAGAAAAAAATTCAGAAGTTAATAGATTTTTTTTTAATGCCATCTCAAGATTCTTGATAAAATCTCAAAATGGGTCTGTCATTTTATCAATCCTGACCTGGCATCTTAACTTCAGTCACTTTCCCACCACCATGACATGGCTTCTCTGTCTTTTCTATAAATATTTTTATGTCAATTATTCTAATGAGATTTTCTCATTGGTACTGCAACTGTATGAAGTGAAGCATACTACTAGATTGGCAACTAGGTCTCACTGTTTTACTGTTGAAATAGCTAAATGTAACCATACGTTCTATTCTAATAGTTTCTTTTCTCGCACTTCTCACCTGTGGCACTGTTACAGCTTCTTGCTTCCCTGCCGCCTACATCTCCAAAAATTTAAATGCAACATCAATCGCCATCTTCTGGAGTCCTGTTTTTTTTTATTGTTCTTTCTCTTCACTAAAGTTTTTACATTCTCTTTCACTATCAGTAACCCCTTACATCTTAATGGCATTATCACCTTGCTTGGGGTGAAATGATTAGAAAAAAAAATATATCAGGATGATACTTCAAGACACTGGTGATCAGGGTTATTCATAGATTGCTTTTCTTTAGTCTCTGTGAATTGTCTGGAACTGAACTGGAAAAGACAGTGGAGTGGATTTCTGTTGCCTTCTTCAATCAGAGTTTTCCCATTCCTAGACTAGCTGCCACCAAAGGCTAGAGAACTCAGTCTAACCTGATATTAATTCAGGGATTTAAACTAACTTTTTCAACATCATACTGAAGCACTCCTGAAAAACAATTGTAATCAGGTCAAGAAAATTTAAAACCATCCTGAAAACAAAATGTTTATTTTTTCAACTTTGTTATTATTTATAGTCATTAGTAGCATAATAAAAAAACATCATTAAAATGTATAGTTGTTAATAGCATAATAAAAACACCATTAAAAAATTTAGGAAATAAGAAAGTGATGAAGATAACATTTTAAAAATACAAAAAGAAATTAATTCAATTTTACTGTAAATTCTATAAAATATCACATCTTTGTTTTTATTTAAACATTTCAATATTTGTCTATATTTCTGAAATGAAGTGTTGTTACCATTTACACTTTTTACATTGTTTGAACTGGGCCATAATAAAAGGTGTTGGTTGAAGTAATCCAGTGACTTGACCCAAAGAGTTGTGAGTTCAATACCTGGCCACAGCAGAGGTGAACAAACACTTGGAGAGTTGAGTTAGTAAAGGGAAATAACTGAGATATCCAGAAAAGGCATGGCATGTGGAACTAGAACAATTTACCTCAGGAGATAAAATAAAGGGTTCAATTCAAAATTCCGACGTATATCACCTGAGGAAGGACAGAGTGTACAACAGCTGAAATATTGTGAATACGACAATAAAGACGAGGACAACAGTTCAAACAATGTAAATAGTTAAACATTTCAGTTAAATCCCTTTGAATAATTTTACATGGAAATGTTCTTATTCGTTACTTTTCATGCGAACAAGAAGGTTTTGTACTGTTTCCTCATTAGTGGTCAGCTGAGTTGTAATTATTCGTCAAAAAAAAAATGTCTTCATCAAAAAGTGCATGTGCCACATCTATTATTTTAAGAAAATATTTGTAAACATGGGCCTTCAAATCCCCCCCCAAAAAAACGAAGTGACAAAAGGACAGTTTTTCCTATGACACAGCTTTTATTTTAACTACCTTAATGTTTATTGTTTGAAAAAGTGATGATTAGAATTGTAATAAAGCATAAACTTATGAGAAAAATGAATTTAAACATTTTTTTGTTCTTGAGAATTGACAACAAAAATATTAAATTTTTTTTATTTATTAGTTTGTTTATTTACAAAATTTATTTCTGTTATTTATTGGAATAGTTTTTTTTTTTGTTTTTTTTTAAAGCATTTCAAACCAACCAAGGCAGGAGTGCCACTAGCACACAAGGGGTTACAGAGAATGAGAGCAAGATTAAAGAGGGGGTGTTTGAGGAAAGGATATAGAGAAGGACGGCGATCAGGATCAAGGCATCAGAAGATGTCGATTGACATTACACTTGAATATTTAAAGACTATAGCTATCAGGGAAGCAAGTAAGAGGAAGGAAGTTCCACTGTTGGGAAGTGCAAGATAAGAAGCTGTTGGAGTAGAAAAGACAGCTACATTTAATCGTTTTGACAGTGAAAGGATGGGACAGAGTTGCCAACCTAGTAGCATGCTTAAATTCATGCAGTTGGGGTATCAGTGAAAGTAGCTCATCAGAGCAGTTGGCATGAAAATATTTCTAGAAAAGACAGAGGGAAGCCACAGCACATCAAAAAACATCAGTTAATTGCCAATTGATTCAAAATTTATAAAATGGTAAATAATAAGTTTTTACTTGCAATTGGTTTACATATTTTAATAACTTAGTAAGTGTTTATGAATAAAAATTGTTTTCATATTTATTTCTTTATAAATTGTCAAATGATAAATATTGCATTGCATTAGTCTTAATTTTATTAATTTTTAGAATGTTGTAAATATAAAATTATTCTTGTAAGTAAACACTCTAATAGTGTTTAATATTTTTGTTGTAAATTCTCAGGAACAAAAAATATGTATAAATTCACTTTCATCATGTCTCTATGTTTTATTCCAATTCTAATCTGCTTTTTAAAACAATAAACATTGCCAGAGTGGAGGTAGTTAAAATAAAATTGATGTTATGGGGAAAACAGTTTTTTGTGGCATGAAGGTCCATGTTTTGCCAAAACATTTATAAATATCCAATTAATCAAGTCTATTGATTCCTTAAAATACTCATTATGTCAATCTTTTAGTATTGAGTTCCATGAAAGTTTCGAGTTCTCAAAAGGTCATTTTTATCTTCTGAATAAGTCAATATTTACTTAGCTTAGTACAACACAATGACAAATGAATAGGGAAACGAAAACAGAAAAATTGAATTACACAATTAAAAGTGAGGAGGGTCTGTCTACTTTGAAAATCTGCATCAGAAATCAGTCACTTCCTTGCATCTGAACACCAACTTTTGGCACTGGTGAGAAATAGATGCCTCCAAAACTGAGATGGTTACTTTTTTCTTCTTAGGATTTTCTTTTTCCTTCCCTTTGGGTCCATCAGTTTGATAGTGTACTTGTAAAATCTGCAATACTCAGAGTGCCATGCATATAACCTATCAGTTGCCTACCTTGTATATTCCCTGGTCAAAGCCACAGTACGTGCTCTCCATGCAATAACTATTTATAACACCAATCTCTCGCCACACAATCACTCGAGCGGTTCCTTCCTTGATCTTTTCCACTTGGTACTTGGTCTCCTGCAAGGAAAAAGCTGGTGCCACTCGGTCTAAGATGTAGGGCAGGATCTAAGAAAAAAACAAAATAAATAAAAAAAGATACAAGAAATGAGCAACATCTTTAGAAAATTAACTGTTTATATATTCCGTTATATACTTCATTTTAACCCCGTAGACATTTTATGGTGTATAGGGCAACAGCCGCACCACAATAGGTAGTGCTACTGTGGTTTCAATATGAAGCACAGATGGAGCTGATAACACTATACCCAGTGCTGACTATCCATTGTCCCCAAGTAGTCTGCCATCTTGATCAGGGTTAATACTGCTTAAGTTTGCTGATCAAATGAGAACTGGTCGTTTCAGTATGATTCAACTGTAAACCCATTATATACTGGGTAGGATTTATTAAACAAACACAAAAAACTTTCACTTTTTTTTCAGTGTATTTCAACTGTATTTAAACCCATATGTATATCAACTATATTAGAACATGGCCGAGTGGTTAGAACGTTTGCTTTCCGACCATGAGAATCAAATGCCATCATAGCTGACTTATCAGGGAGATAACTTCCTGATATTGTCAGTCTTGGGAGACAATCTCAGCGCGTGACACCATACCTGAAAATCATGCCATGAATTGACCCAAACCTCGTGAGCAAGACTGGAGAGACAGAATTGCACAGAAGCTGTTGATGGTTGTGCTAACACAAAGTCACAAGTCATCGTGACTGAAGGTTTATACATACTGGGGTTGTTCAGACTGCTGATCATGCCAGATAATACATTCTTTCCCACAAAGTAACTAAAGTCTGCTCAGTATAGTTGCAGTATAAAGCACAGGTGGGATCTGTGGGTGTTGAACAAAAAACAAATGTGCCTGAACAAACATCTGCACTAGGGATTGGCTATCTGCCTTAATAGACGGGTATACCTGGAAACAAGTCATTGACCATTATTATTATTTATGTATATCGACTTCTCTTAATCCAGCTAGAATTCAATGAACACAATGTGGAATGAACTCACTGACAAGAGTCAAAGTAAATCTAGTGTGTGTGTGTGTGTGCTTTTACCTTATATGAAGTATCTTCTCCATTTTCCCTGTAAGTTGGGTTGTCAGTGTCACAGACTTTCCAAGAATGAAAAGAAGAGCAACCATAGATGAAGATGTTCTTCTTTTGAGAATGTCCATGGAGATCACAGTAGAGCTGAATATCAGAGGAGAAAAAAAAAAAGCAATCAAAAAATAAAAAAAAAAAAAAAAATAGAATATACAGGATCAAAGTGTATTATCTGTGCACTCATTGAAATGTTTTTGATTGATCAATTCATTTACTACAGCTCATCAACCCTTTGAGGTTATTTAAAGGCATAAAATATTTTTAGATTTTAAGAATTTTTGAGGGGGAGATAATAATAGTTTAGTGATACAAGTCTTATTAATTAACCCATAGCTGGAGGGGAACAGAGATGAGTGGATTCATACCTAATCAAAATTTGATAAACAAGAAATCAATGTGTATATAAAGTGAGGGATCAATTCTATATTACACCCAATATATAAACTGATCCCTCACTTTGTGGGCACAGTAGTTTCTATACATTTATATTCCAGAGAATGTAAGTAAATCTAAAGGACATGCCTGTGTAGTTAATCAGTATTTCATTGATTGATTTACTCATTTTTTATGGTTTATCAATCCATTACAGGTTATTTAAAGCCAGAAAATATTTTTAAATTTTAAGAATTTTTTTTTTTTTGATATAATAAGGACTTACTGACACAAGTCTTACTAATTAACACATAGCTGGGGAAAGAAGAGGTGGATTCATCAAGGGTATTTAAGTGAATAAGTGAATATGATAAGCCCAACTGTAATTGGAACATGTCCCCTAGATTAACAATTCTGAGCCATTATCTTTTACACCAGTTGCACATCCAAGGTTACAGCACCTGGTATTTCCCAGTGGTCACTCATCTAGATATTGACCATGCTTGATGTAGCCCCTCTGCAAAATGTGTTACACACAATAAATATTATATATATATATATATATATATATATATATAGAGAGAGAGAGAGAGAGAGAGAGATAGATAGATAGATAGAGAAGAGGTTATAGTAGTTCCAATGAGAGAAAAGTGTGTGTATATGAAAAAGAAGAGAGAAAAACCACAAACGTTTTTGATCGTAATGTGGATTGTTTTAAAAAAATATTATGCTTTATCTTCCATAATTTTGCTACACGTTTCCAGTCTCATGACCTTCATCAGGCAAAGCATGGAGATTTCCACATATTATCAAAAATAATTAATTTTTTTCTTATATTTTTCAATGTTAAATATTCTCAATATGAGACATTCTCTTTATAGTGTGTTAGTGACCCAAATGTCTTTCTTGAACTGGCAGTGAAAAGTTCTGTGTGAAGAGTTATAAAACAATTAAGATTGGTCCAAGAAATGGTGAAGGAGTTATCGGCATTCTTATCTTTCAATGACCCTTGTGTGTTCTTAGATCTATTTCCATTTTCTTGTGTTTTTGTCAGCATGTGTGTATATATGTATATTCCCTCTCTATACATACTGTTTTTATATATATATATATATATATATATATAATGTGCATGTGTGTAATTGTGGGATTAAAAATACTTGTCCTATGAAAAGAATACAGTGTGAATAGGGAATAAATATGGCAGTGTAGAAGAAAAATTATATATAGGAGCTACTTAGAACAAATAAAAAAAAAGATATAACAAGAGTAAAATTAGCTTAAATCATAAGAAATATGAGAATGCCATGGCATTGTCAGGTTATTATTGGAAGATCAAAGATGAATTATGTAAGAAGGAGACCTCCATCAACACAGGAAAAATCAATAATAGAAGTAGATAGCTTCACCTATTGTCTGGTTCATACACCTCCCTGATTTTTTAAACTTGTTTCCTGGTTAGGACTGGTATTCCGGTTCCTTCTAAAATATACTTCAGCTCTATACTTCTAACATCTCTACCTGAAATTTTATTCGCTAATCAAATCTTGACCTCTTCAAGTCTAGAATTAGCTGTCTATCTTTCCTGTTGTCTTGCTCTTTCTTACACTAATACAACTCCACACAGTAACCCTCTACCTTGAGTGGCCTTTGGGCCTTGTATTGGATGAACATTGGTTAAAAAAAAAAAAAAATACTGAAAACATATCAATCACAAATAGCATGAAACCCAGGGTCACAAACTCACACCAATCCAACTAAATATGTTAGCTCTATCACTGATATTGAGCACTTTCCAATAAGTACTGCGCATATATAACATAAATAATATATAAAAAAATTGCATATATATATATATATATATATATATATATATATATATATATATATATATATATATATACACACACACACATACATACATTCATATACACACTTTGCTCCCCCAAAGGTTGAGCACTCGTGCTGTTCTTTTTTAAAAAAATGGATAAGTTCGACCTAGGATACTCACTGACAAACATCTGTATACCCACCCAAGCTTCGTATAAACTTCAACTAACAGAGAAAATCGAAAGTTTCATAAGAAGGATGAGATGGAAGGCATACTTCTTCCTCAATGATCCAAAAAATGCCAAAACTAAAAAACCTGAGACATTTGACTTCAGTGCAAGGAAATGCCCACCAAAATGTAAAGAAATGCTAAAATTCAAGGAGTACTTGATAAATATAGTCAGAAACTTGAAATTCAAAAAACACCAGGACAATTTCCAGAAGAAAATTATGGAAGACAAGAAAAAAAATAATGAATTCCAATAAGTTATTCATATTTACTGACAAGACTACAAACATATACACAATGGAACCCACAGCCTACAATAACCTCATAACTAACAACATCACACAGTTATACAAAAAGACAACCGTGAACACAAAAAACATGATAAACCAAGAAGCTAATGATATAGCCATCAAACTAAAACTAGATGAAAGGATAAACCACATAGCCAAACAACAAATTTTCATGACAGCAAAAAGCCACTAAACCAACTTTGTGAAAAATCCCACATTCCACCTAATCAACCCAGCAAAAAGCAAAATAGGAAAAATCAGCAAAAACATATTAGAAGCTATCAAAACCAAGCTAAGGGAAAAGTTAGGAATTAACCAATGGAAAAATACCAAAGCTGTCACAGACTGGTTTACAGCAATAAAAAACAAAAACAAAGCTACTTTCATCCAATTTGACATAGTGAATTTCTACCCATCCATCATGGAAAACATATTGAATGATGCTATACAACTAGCACAACATGTAAAAATTACAGACGGAGATATTAAAATAATCAAGCACTGCCATAAATCTCTGTTGTTCCACAATAACAAACCTATTTGATGTAACAATCGGTAGTTACGATGGGGCAAAAAGTGAATTAGTAGGTACATTGATCCTGTCATATCTAGCCAGGATCCTAGAGAAAAAAGACATGGGACTATATAGAGATGACTGTCTTATCCTGATAAGAGAACCCAATGGCTCCAAATTAGACAGATTTAGGGAAAAAATAGTAATTGCCCTAAAAACAGTTGGATTTAAAATAGTAATAAATGCAGATACAAGAACAGTAAATTTCTTAGACATCACTCTCAACCTGAGCAAAAACATATATGAACCATACAAAAAAGATAATGATACCCCAACTTACATACACACATCCTCCAACCATCCACCTTCAATCATCAAGCAAATACCCACATCAATCAGCTGCACAAAAAATATAACACAAATAATAAAAAGCCACAACGCAACCAAGGAACCCCAATGCAACTGCAGAAATAAAACAGCATGTCCACCAAGTAAACTGCCATCAAACGAATATAATATATAGAGCCAAGGTAGGTGCAAACAACAGCACAATGTACTACATCAGGGCCACTGAGGGACCATTCAAGAAAAGAAAAAACAACCAGGACCTTTTATACTCAAACAACACTACACTATCTACATACATATGGCATCTAGAAGACAGACATATTACACCAAGAATAAGCTGGAAAATATTGAAAAACGAACTTGTCTACAACAATATTACAAAGAAATACCTACCTTGCCTACATGAAAAGGTAGCAATAATTTCTTGTACCCAACAAAAGAAATTACTAATCATAAGATCAGAAATAATTTCCAAATGCAGGCATGAAAACAAATACCTATTATCACAATTTATGCCAAACAGATAAAAAAAAAAATACCAACTATTACTACCGCATCACAATTACCATTGCTACATTAGTCCACAATTACTACCACACCACAATTAACATTACTGTATCAGTCCACAATTATACTTACTCCCACCACAGAAAAATTAATACCACTGCATAAATACTAATAAGCATTATAAATTGTATTTTCTACCATTTACATAAGTGTAATCACCAAAAGCAAGCAAATAACTGGCTTTAAAATAATAACAGCATTAAAAAAAATTTAAAATAATAGCAATTTTACCTACCATAGCCTTATACAGACCCCATCATAAAAACAAATGGATAGAAGATGTGTGAACGCGTGTGCAAGAAAATATTATTCAGCAAACAAAATAGATGAACCGTCTGCGCAATGACACTACAACTGACAAAAGATGTTCACTACACAATCCAACATTGAATACAGCGACCAATTGCATACGTATGTATGCAATGACACATGGATGCACATATATGCCCACTCCCACACTGTCCATTTGTTTATGTTTGTGTGAGCTCCAGTGAGTGAGCATGCATGTATATATATCTGCATACATCAATGAGGGAACGTGCATGTATGTATGTTTGCATATGTATGAATGGCATTCTGATAACAATTTTTCCTTCTACTACCATAAAAACACAACCATGTATAAATTCAAAATTTAAAAATTAATCAGTTTGTCTGACAATCACAAATAGTATGAAATCCAGGGTCACAAACTCAGACCAATCCAACTAAATATGTTAGCTCTGTCACTGATATTGAGCACTTTCTAATAAGTTCCACACATAATATATATATATATATATATATATATATATATATATATATATATATTTACACATGTGTGTGTGTGTGTGTGTGTGTGTCTATATAATTCAAAATTTATCTACACTTTCAGAATAATAATGTGTTATGAGTACAGATAATTTTTTTTTTTATATATATATATATATATATATATATATATATATATATATATATATATATATATTCAGGGTGTGATGGATAAACTGTCATCTAAATTAAACAAAAAAAAATGAGAATAAAGCTGACATCTCATTTTAACAGTTTATTTACCAAAATTACACAAAAATATCTTGAAATACTAAAGAGTAAATTTATTCAATAAAATCGCCATTGGCTTCAACCACAGCTTCCAGACGACTTCAGAATCTCCTGCAACTCTTCTGGACGGTCTCCTTGTTTAAGTTGGTGAATGCTGCCATAATCCTTGCCTTCAGTTCATCTTTGGTTGCAAGGAGTTGTGTTGGTCTCTCGCTCAACTCAACATAATAATCAAGGAGGTTGCAGTCTGGGGAGTTAGGTGGCCAAATATAAAGAGGTGATGTGATCGCAGAAATTGTTTGACAGCCATGACTGGGTTCTCCTGCTTGTGTGGCATGGTGCAGAGTCCTGTTGGCAGACATAGAGTCTTCTAGCAGCCACCCTATTGACTCAGGGAAACACTACCCCCTCAAGGCATTTGATGTAAGCCTTCATTTTGAGTCTGAGGCTCTTACCATCAAATTCAGGATTTCTTTTCTTATCAGAACCATCAAAGTGAGTTTTCTGAGCTGCTGTACTTTTGTAATCACCATTAGACACATCCAACTCTTTCCAAATCCTCTGCACTGTCCTCAGATTGATACCCAAACACTCTGAAATATTTGTATTGGAGCTTACGGTGCAAATACCAAGCAGTACAGGATGCCATTTCCAAATTTCTGGCAGCATGAATTGTGTCATGGTGCTCTTTTTCTCACAGATGGTGCCCAACTGACCCTACAATACTGTGACAAAATCAAAAACAAATAACACACATGCACAAAACTAAAAATATAAAATGGCAACAATTTAACCATCGCACACTGTATATATACATGTGTGTGTATGTGTTACTCAATTTGGGAAAACCCAAGACTTGCTATTTCCCGTTTACAGAATATATACTTGCTAGCAACCTAACAGACGAATTTCGGCTGCCTCGAATCTGGAATGCTAAATATGTCTTCTCCAGAAACATAGAAGGATCTCCGGCAGACCCAATTCTCAAAGGGAATTATCACATATAATATATATATATATAATCTTTTCATTCTCCTTTCACTCTGCTTGTGTAGATATGTGTTATATTTTCTCTGTGTGGAACATGTGTAAATATGTATATATAATTTTGTGTATGACTTAGTGGTATAAAATTCTGAGAAACAAACATGTTTTTCATTTCTTTTCTTTCGGCTATTCCGTTCCAGCCATGAAATAAAGTGCTATTATATCATGGATATAATAATGTCCATAATGGGGAGAAATACAAACTTGGAGAATATTAATTTCTTCCATAGTTCACTCGTTATCTGGGTCAACCTGATGAGATTATTTACCTCCATTAAGAGAGAAAAAAAAAAAAAGAAACAATAATTGCAACTGCATTTTAATCACAGCTGTATGTAAAAGTTTTATACAGAGGTAAGTTTTTATACAGAGGTAAGTTTGACACTTTTCTTTTGTTTGTTGCCCCACTGACTTTACCACCAATTATTTTTTTTTTAAATGATTGATAATTAAGGAAAATATTTTAAATTTATTTCATCTACAATTAGTTTTAATAAATTTCAGCATTCAACCTTCATGTTGTGCATTGAAAATCAGAAATAACAGTGGAGGGGGGGGACTTTTTGGTTAAGAATTAAGACAGAATGTGAATATTATGTAAAAATTTATTAAACAAAGGCTTACAGCACATCACATTGATACACCAGCTCCCATATGATCACCAAAGTTGCACAATGTTGAGCCGAGTCAATACTTAGATGGGTGACTGTTTAGGAACGCCAGAGGCTGTAAGCTTGGATGTGCAGCCGGTGTAATGGTTAATGGCTCAGGATTGTTAATCAAAAAGCCAAGTCGGGTTCATCATATTCACTTATATGCAAATACACTTGAAAATAGTATGAATCCACCTCTTTTCCCCCTCAAGCTATGGGTTAATTAGTAAGACTTGTATCACTAAAACATTATTATCTGCCCACCCCCCAAAAAATTAATTTAGAAAAAAAAATTCATACAATCTAAAAAATAATTTCTGGCTTTAAATACCCTACAAAGAGTTGATAAGCTGTAAAAAAAAATGAATCAATCAACTAATTAACAGAATAAAAAGGACATTAATTATGCAAAATGGAAGATAGGATGTGATGTGCACAATTTATGTATATATTCAAAAAAAAGAAAAGAAATAGAGATCGAGGCTGTGCAAGGTGAAGAAATAATGAAAGACTAAAAAAGCAGAAGGAAATAAATCTTTACTTACAATTGGCACTTTGTCGATAATTTTCATGTAAAGTAAAATTCCTTTCGTGTGAAAAATTGTTGGATGGAGTTTAGGACAAGGGGTCATCCACCTTCGATTCAGATCATTTCCAGATAAAGAACAACGATGACTAAAAAAAGAAAAAAAAAAAACAACAGATTAAAAATTAAAAACAATTTGAAAATGCCGCTAATCATTGGGCATCATATTTATAAATGGTGTCTGTATTTCTTCAATCTCGCTAAAAATTCTTTTACCCATTGAACTTGTAATATTGGTTTATCAGTACTCGGATATTTAATTGCTAAAAAGAATTCCACAACCTAACATGGAAGCAGAATAAAAGTGTCCTCTTTGTTTCCATTTTCCTTCTACATTGCTTACACTGTCTATGGAATTCTCGGCATCCTTCTGTAGAACCACATTTCTGTTACCTCCAGTTTTCCCTTCATTCATAAGGAAATAGTCCAACATTCACTGACATATAAAAGGATTGATATTACATAAGAGTTCAGCACTTTTTCTGTCTCTAATGAAGTTCTCGTTTCTTTAGACTTTGCTTAGCTTTTGAAAGACATCTTTTTTTTTTTTAAATCACTTCCCAGATATTTGAACTTCCGATGTTGACATTTTCAGTCTGTAGTTTGCATCTTGTGCTATTTCTTTTGTGGAAAACCATATATTCTATATTCTTACAGTTGATAGTCTTTTCTTCTTGATTTTGAAAGAAATACCAGTCAAAAATTAACAATGCTTCATCTAATGAAAGATTTCAGATAACAGTACAACCAATACTAAAGGGCATGAAATGACAGTCTGAAAATAGTAATAAAAAGTAACTGAAATTAAGATGAAAGAAATATTAGTCAAAAATCAATAAGGCTTCATCTAATAATGAATGAAAAATCTAAATTTGCTCATTATTTATCAATAAGCTAGTCACTGGTAGGTTACACCACTTGGCTTTACTAAAAACAAAAAATATACCTTGTCGACTTACAACTGTTCAGTTTGACGACTGCAAATTGATGTGTCTGGCCATCTGGCTATAACTGCTCTACATCTAGCAGCAAGAGTGTTTCTCAGTTTGGGGTATGAAAATTTCTGCCCCATCTCTTGACAACACTAACATTCCCTTGTGCACTTCAACATCAATGTTAGGGCAGCCTTGGTACAACAGGCCGTTTGTGTCTTTGAAATTTTTTTTTAAAAAAAAACCCAAGATGTCTACCAAAAGGAAATTGTCTTTGTCTAGCGCTCAATCCTCTAAGAAGGAAAGAAAGGCTCTTGATCTCGACGCAAGAATGATGAAGATTAAGCACTATGGAGGAGGAAAGAAAGTGAATGTGATCGCCCGTGAGCTGAAGTTATCACACCCTACTGAGCCAGAAAAGAAATTTACTACCAAAGGATTATCAGAAGGTACTACTAAGTAAAGTTTCGAATTCTAAAAAAGAAAAACAAATAAAAGAAAAACAAAAAAAAAAAAAAAAACAAGATGCGTACCAAGAGGAAATTGTTTTTGTCTAACCTTTAAACCACCAAGAAGGAAAGAAAGGATCTTGATCTCAAGGCTAAAATGATGATGATGATTAAGCACTATGAAGAAAGAAAGAAAGTGAATGCGATCACCCGTGAGCTGAAGTTATCACACCCTACTGAGCCAGAAAGGAAATTTATTTATTTTATTTATCAGAAAATTTATCTCTACTAAGTAAAGTCCATGCACATAAATGGGCCCAAATATCAAACAATTTGCAAAGATTGAATGTATTACACATATGTTTTGTTCATATTGTGAAATTTATGTTAAAAAAAAAAAAAGAAAAACATTGTATTTTTAATAAATATTAAACCAACTATGCAAGAGTTTTAGTTAAACCTGAAAAATGTAAAAATACAAAACGAAACAATGTGCAGAGAGACGTTACAAATGGTAGCAAAGGTAAAGAAACCATAAAAATTATAAAAATATAATAAGCCTAAAGAAAGATAAAAAGATTGCAAAATTAATTTCAGGCCAACTTATGATCAGATCAATTTATGACTGACAGGTTTTAACCAATTGTGGTGGTAAGTCTATGACACCCTGTATGTATGTATTCATATATATATATATATATATATATATATATATATATATATATATAAAAGGTATTCCAATAACTTGGACCAATTTTAAATGTGAATTAAGTTGTTAAATCTGAAAGAAAAAAATCATCAGATGCTTCAGCTTAAGTCTTTGGCAATTTCAACCATGGAAAGATTAACGATCAAACAACGTGTTAAAGTTATCAAAGCATATTACGAAAATGGACATTCAAACAGAAATGCATTTTGCACATGTTGAGATTTTTTTGGTCAATATAATTAACAAACCGAAAGTGCATTTGGAAAGAATATAACATTGTTGTGGGGAGGTTCCTGCGTGCAATGACGAATAGAAGTGTCTAGATTTTCGGCCACATTCTTGTGTACTGCAGCAATGTTTTCAGTTGAACGGCGTAAACAAGCACACAATGGTGTTTTCACATCTGCCACTGACCCAGTTTGTTTAAAATTGCACTCTTGAAATTTTAACATGTTTATACCAATTTGTCTTATCCACAGAATTATTCTGGGAAATATATATATATATATATATATATATATAACTGATCTGTGTTCTGAAATAATCCCACTAAAAAGAATGGATAAATGGTAAATGTAAATAATACAATATTGACATGTGTTTATGAATATGAAGTTGTTTATTTAAACCAAGAACATTTTAGAAAAGCATGATATAATATGAAAATACCTAGAAAATCCTGTATTAAAAAGTATTTTCAACCCAACATTGTATATGTAAACTGATCACAGTTGCTGTAGCTGAGTTCCAGACATTAAACCTCCTAATAGCACATCCATGATCTGTTGTCATATCTCAGGCTACTCCCCACTAATAGCCAAACATGACCACCTAAATCATCATGTCCATAGAGTCAGTGCCTATGTTAATGATGGGTTTCCTGTGATAGAGATACAAAAAGAAGGACCTTGATTTTCATATATATATGGTTCTGCATGGCACTTATCCACAATATCACATTTATTTTCATGCTCTATTGTCCTCACAACAATGGAATGCTAATTATCTGAGAGGATTGATATCTTCATTGAATTTTCCTCAACTTTCATATCTGTAGTGGCTTCAATATTCACAACCAAGAGTAGTTAGTCCACTTGAATAAAAGTGATGAAAGTAGATACTGCAGAGATTTCTCCGTCACTTATGAACTAACACAGATTATTGAAGAACTCCACCTGCATCCTGGATGCAATAGAATATCAAGCAAACCTCCTTGACCTTTTCCCCACATCCTGCCCTGAAAAATGCTTCTCAGAAGTTTTAAGAGGCACACCAGATCATTCTCTCCTCAGTGTCCAAGTTGATACCAAACCAAAGACATCCCCTGATTTGTGGTTCCATAGAACATTTTTTCACTACATAAAGACAGACTGGAACTGCTTCAGATCTGACATGGCGGAAGCTCCTCTCTTAACCTTCTTCATATTTATACTCCCATCCCCCAAAAAACAGATTTATACCCTAGATATGATCTATCACTAAAGATACTGGAAAAATGGTTGGTTTCCTGTACCGTTACAGAAATACCTGACTCCTTGTGTTATCCTCTACCTTTACAAGAGCCAGATCAGGCCCAGGAGTTGCCTAACCTTCACTTTCCAGTCTTGATAATTCAAAAGTGTCCTTCTGGGTGACAAATTATTCTCTACCCTACAACCCCTTACTCACAGACAAAATGTTGCAAGCCTCTTCCCGCTCTATTGCAATTTCCATGGAAAGTGCTCAGACAAACTATATTCCTTAGTTCCACCAGTTCTTCACAGCTGAAACCCACCATGCTACACCCTCATTCCCTTCATATCCCCCTTGTGGGATGTAAATTTCACTTGAGCAGCTTCTTCCATGAACCACTGCTTTGTGGAACTGACTCCCAAGAGGATGCTTCCCCAGTTTTTCTAGGGTTAATCATTATCTTTCCTACATATCCAAAAAACTGTGCCTCTTACTCTGTAGTAACCCTCTACCTCAAGTGGCTTTCAGGCCTTGTACATGGCTGAAAATCATTGTAAAAAAGAAAAAATAAAAGAAAGTAAAATAGCTGAAGCCAAGAAGAAAATAAAGTTCTTAAAATGGTAAAAATACAAACAAAACCCAAAAGCAACTCACTTGCCATTTATGACGCCATCAGGATTGAGCATTGGAATGATTTTGAAGACATATTTATCCCGAAGTTCTTGTGCTGCTGCTTTCGTACTCATGAGAAAATCTATAATACCTGAAAATAAAAAAGAAATTAGAAAATAAAGGGTACACCACCAACTTTGCTGGTACCTTTGGTTCCAAAATTGTGCCAGATTATCCATTTTACCAGACTAACGGAAATCACATAATAATTTGATTACACACCACTAACCAGTTAATTATTCATTTCTTGTCTCTCTACATTATCATCAACTGTTTGAAACAATTAAATGATCACACACTACACACAAAGTCATCTTTGGCCATCTGGTGACTTAGTCTGACAATCGTGTGAAATTCAAATGCCAGCTTGTAATTTTTCCAAGATTAAAAGAGGTACCGGATCATCAGTTACTGAAAAATCAAGAGTGCATATGTACAATAATTACTGACTAGATAAAGGAAATGGCTAAGTTTTTAATTCTAGGGAAATTGCAAAAGATTCTAAAACCTAGAGACTGAACACAGATGAATCTCTCTGTTCAGGACATGGGAGATCATGGCTCTCAACGGTTTCATTTACTTTAATATCAGTAAACTGTATATTGTCATCAATGTAATTGGGAAAGATAGTGGAGTGGTTTCAATTTGCCTTTGCCACAGTTCGAATTCAAAATTGTCCTTTTGACTAGTTGTCAACCAAAGGTAGAGAGTCCAGTCTACCCTACTATTTAATACATAGCTGTGTGGCAGGAAGGTAGCTGATTGCATTATTATCCTTGGGGAAGACATGAATCAAATTGTCTCAGCTGGTAGTTGAACCTTACACACAGATTCCTTTTTCCCTGCTGTTATCCATTAGGCCATCCAAACCTCCAGAAGAATACAGAATAGAAAAATAAACAAAAATACAGAAATTCTCTCAGGAAAACTATTGTCATATAATTTAATAATTAACATGAGATAAAAATAGCCTAACGAGATAACAATTGAAATCTGAAAATATGAAACTCAAAATCAAAGGAGAAATCTACAATTATACACTGAATCTTTCTGAATACATCACCTCTTTCTTTTTATGTGTCATGTCCTTTTAGGATGTAGGCAATCATGGCTCTCCACATCCCTATATTCCTTGCAGCTCTCAACAATTTCCTTCCCTCTGCTTCCTCCCCCAGACCACATTCTGTCATCCACTTGCTTAAGCCCACCAGGTATGTCATGCATTGATTTCTCTTGTCTCCCTTTCCCTCTATTCAACCTGTGAGTATCAGATTCTCCAGGCCCTCCTTCCTCATTATGTGTTCCAGAAACTTCAGCTGCCTCCCTCTTCCTAATGTTAAGTATAAGCCTCCTCCTTGTTTGCAACCTCTCTAAGCCCTCATCGTTGCTCACATGCTTGATCCATGATATTCTTAGCATCAAACATAAAAAAAAAAGCAATTACCTTTCATCACCCAGCTGGAATTACTTTCACCTGGATGGACACGAGCAGAGAGGAAGACATATTGCTTATCTGAAACAAATACAAAAAAGTTTGAAAATTTTATGATAATTTGCATCATCTGAAGAATGGCAGGAAAGATGTTTTTTTTTCTGTAGTAATAAAACTGTGTTTCTCTAAAATATTTCTCTAAATTAAAGAATAGGTAATAATCTAAAAAGACTATCTGAAGAGTTCACCTTCTTAGCCAGGCACATTCCTAGAGGATCCGACTTGTCAGGGCCCACAATGAGAAATTTAGAAAATGGCAGCAAATATAGATTATAAGGTCACAAAGAAAGCAGAATATTATGGTTGCAAAGAAGGCAGAATATTATGGCTGCAAAGGTGAGATATTAGGTGTTAAATGCTGAATATTAGGTAGCAGAGAAGGCAGAATACTAGTTCACAGAGAAGTTAGAATGTTATGGTTGCAATGAAGGTGGAATATTAGTTTGCAAAGAAGGCAGAATATTATGGTTGCAAAGGTGGAATATTAGCTTGCAAAGAAGATAGAATGTTATGGTTGCAAAGAAGGTGAAATATTAAGAGGCAATGAAGGCGGAATATTAAGACTACAAAAGCAGAATATTAGGTGACAAATTTTGAATATTAAGTTGCAAAGGCATAATATTAGTTTGCAACGTTGACAGAATATTATGCTTGCAAAGTATCATATAGGACATAAATGAATGGAATCATCAGTTTCTGTAAGTAAGCAGAGTTAAGTACAGTCGTGGAGAGTTAGCATTAGGTCAGTTGCTAAGTGTACCATCGTGTAGTAAACCTTCTGTTTCGTTACTCATCTATGAGTTTGTCTTCTTTATTTATTTCTCTCTGTTATCTTGAAAACGCAAGACACAACACAAAGTCGACAGAATATCATGGTTGCAAAGTCAACAGAAAATTATGGTTGCAAAGAAGGCGGAATATTCTGGTTGCAATGAAGGCAGAATATTCTGGTTGCAATGAAGGTGGAATATTAAGGTTGTAAAGACAGTGGAATATTATGGCTGCAAAGAAGGTGGAATATCATGTTGCAAGTACCAAGTATTAGGTTGCAGATAATGCAGAATATTAGCTCACATAGAAGTTGGAATATTAGTTTGAAAAGAAAGTGGAATATATAGGTTGCAAAGAAGCTAGAATATTAAGCTTGAAAAGGTAGAATATTAGTTCACAGAGAAGGTAGAATATTAAGGTTGCAAAGAAATAGATAAATAGATAGCTAGCATGGTTTCACATTTTAATACTATCTTTAACATGAACCCAAGTCACTATGCAGTGTTGATTTCTATGTCTATGTTGTCTATTTACATATAAATGCTGTATCTTTGATACTGAGCACTCTTTATGAATAAAGCAAATTTTAAACAAATTTATATATATATATATATATATATATATATATATATATATATATATATATATGTGTGTGTGTGTGTGTGTGTGTATGTGGACAGAGAAATAAACACTGTAGTCACCATACCATGTTAATTTTCTCTGATATAGAGCACTCTTCCGCTAGTCTAATCTAACACATAGGTATTAACTAAATTTTGTCTTGAAAATTTAATTGTATAAAATTCAAACTATGTGATTAATATTTAGCACAAAATTAAGTGCACTGACAAGCAGAACATGCTGAAAAATAAATATTTGTTGCATAAAATAAATGCTGTTTTCATTCTTAAGCTAGGAATTTATTGATGAATCTCTGTGTACACACAGAGAGTAGCAGGAGCACAAGGTTAAAAAAAGATTTAAAAAATGCATAAATAATCATTAAGGAAATTGAAATCGAAAATATAGAGCAATAGATATAAATTCAAAATATTTTTAGATTCTGCTTTTTATGGCAGTTAAAAGAGGAAAAAAATAGAACCTTGAGGTAAGGTGGACGTTTCTGTTGTTAGCTGCTCATCAGAGGAGGATTTAGCAGCTGTAATAGTGATCAGAGGTACAGGGTTCCCACTGAGCGTCTCACACAAGGTTTGATGCTTGTAACAGACTTGGTTTGGGTCATAGCCCTCTTCCCAGCTCTTTAGATGCGTCTGTAACATAAAATATCAAAGAATTAGTCCATGTGAAATCAACAAAACCACAACTATAACCTTTCAAATTTGGTGTAAATTTGATCCAACATGGAAGTTGGTTAAAGTAAAGAAATAAATTAGATATTGGTTTGGAGAAATGACCAAAGATTTATTTTCATTTACAAGATATGAAAATATCTCTGGTAAGTTGTATAGTGTAGCATTTGAATGTATGGTGTATGAGGTGTGAAATGAGAGTGTAAAAAGGAGCATGTTTAAAATGGCTGACTGCTTGTTGGCTATTGGTTTGGGCTTGTTGCATTGATAGTGAAGTTCTTTCTGGAGCTCATTTTCACAGCCTAATGGTTGGACAGGCAGTCAGCTGTACTCTCAGGTAGCCTCTATGGTTAGTTAGTGTGTGTGTGTGTGTGTGTGTGTGTGTGTGTAAAGTTTCTCTCTCTGCTCTCTCTCCACTGTCCAGCTTCTCTTATAGCCTAAGGGAAACACACTGACGAAGTTGTAGACAGCTGTGGCAAGTGAGAGTCATGTTGATAATGGCTAGCACTCTAATATATTTGTGTTTGTTTTAAAATTTGTTTTGAGTAGAGTACAGAATATGTGTAACTTAGCTAAACAAAAATTGGTGTATAGTTAGAGATATATGTTTTCTAATAATTGCATAAATTTCGTTTTAATTTGTTATCTCAAACTATATATAAATTGTGTTACAATTATGCTACAATTGTGTTTTTCTACAAAACCAGGAGAAATTCTGAATTTCTGGAATCTGTCAGTTGCAAATTTAGACCTCAGTTAGAATTAAGGATTTAGGGACCTCCACAAAAGTGCAGTACCTAACGTTTAAAATGAATTTTTAATAATGAAAAATCTTTCTTGAAGCTTTTATTTTAGTTTTAATTTTAACCTGAGAGACTAAATTTAAATATTTCTAAGAAACAAAACACCATCAAAACTAATTTAAATTGATTGGAAGAAATTGTTTTTTTGAAATTTCTAAAATTTTTGATTTTGGCTCCATTTTTAGTAAAATGTTATAAAAATGTAAATCTCTTTATTAAAAAATCTTCCAAAAATAAAATATGCTTTTCTGAAACTTTTACAAGAAAAAAAATCATTGATTGAAATTCTCCAAAGAATTCTATTTTTAACTGATATAGTCACTAAAAATTATTTTCAAGTTTTTCAAGTTTTCATAAAATTAAGTAAGGGGGTGAAACACATGTAAAAAAAAAATATTTTTACCAAGATTTCCTAATACGGAACATTTCTAAAATAATTAAATTCATTTGTGAATAAGTCCTTAAAATTTTATTAAAATCTGACAATTATTTGAATTTTGCAAGAATTTCCAAATAAATGTGTCTTTCACTGCAAAAAAGATGTTAAAATTTGCTATGCCAAAATATTGCACATCCACTTATGTAAGAAAAGCAAGATTTTTATTCAAAATATCGAATGCTTTAAAAAAAAAAGTGTAAAAAATTTAATTAAGTATTCAAAAAACATTATCATCTTTCACGTTAATAATAACATTATTAAGATTATAAAATTTTGATGAAAGAACTATTTTTTCATTATGTTTGGAGCATGTTTTCATCACTGATTTTTTGCGATTTCATGGAGTAACCCAACTGTTGATATTAACGGAATTTAAGTTAATTTTATTTAAAAAATTTTCATATGACAGAACTGATATTTGCTGTGTATATACTAAACATTTTTTTTTTTAGATGGGTTGGGTGTTCTAATGTCATGTCTCTTCAGGATGAAGAGATAGATTCATACCTTTCTCAAGGGTATTTGCATGTAAGTAAATATAACAAACAAACCCATCTGCAATTGGAACTTGGCTCTCTGATTAACAATTTTAAGCCATTATTCATTATGGCACCTGTACATCCAGGCTTACAGCACCTGGTATTCCCAAGTGGTCACTTATCTAGGATCTGACCAGGCTCAACATTGCTTAACTTCAGTGATCATACAGGAACCAGTATTTAAATGTGATATAGTCATAAGCCGATGAGGTAGTCTTAAGAAAAATGGAAACAAAAAAGGCCTTTATACTCAGAATCAGAAAGAGACAGATGAAATTGAGAAAGGATGACTTGGAAAATTCGACACTCACAGGACATATTGAAGACAAAAGGGTGACAAGCTTGTGTGAATAGAAGGCAGAATAAAGTGTGGAAGGGATGGTAAAAAGACAAACATTACTAAGAGCTACAAAGGTTAGGAAGTTATGGAGAGCCATGATCGCCCACGTCCTGACGGGACAGAGTACAGAGAATTTGAATAATTCAGAATAATTTAGCAGAGTGAATAATTCAAATTACGATTCTTTAGACCAGGAATATTCGCATCAGAAAGATAGAAAATTCACTGAATCACTTCCCGTTTGTGCTTGGGCAATAACTAATGAAAAAAATAAGACATTTGTAAACATGCGGGGGCACGCGTCAAGGGAAGTAACTCTTATCTTCATTAAAGATTTATTCCCCTTAGATTATCCGGTAAATGAATTTTGGTGTTGTAATTTTATTTCTTTAATCATTTTACCCCAAGCAAAGCGATGAAGCTACTAGGACGCAGGGAGAAAGAGAATGTGATAACTTTAGTAAAGAGAAGTGGAAAAAAAAGACCAGAAAAGGATTCAGGAAGACAAATAATGGAGATTGATGTTGCATTTAAAATTTTTGAAGATTGTGGATGGCAGTGAAGCAAGAAATCAAAAGGGATTTGACGAGCAAGAAATGCAATAAAAAACATACAGTTGTATCTAGCGAGTTCAACAGTAAAACTCTGAGACCTAGTTGCCAATCTAGTAGCAGGCTTAAATTCATGCAGTCAGGACACTAAGGAGGAAAGTTCATCACAACAATTGACATAAAAAAAAAAAAAAAGACAGTGCCTGGGTTTATGTTCCAATGACATTTCTCCAGGATGAAATCTTGCAGACCAATTTTGTACTTACCAGTCAGTTATGACTCCTTGACAACAAACATTCCATATTTTTCTAGATGTAATATTCCCTTACTAGAACTCCTATAACATTATATGACATAAATGCACTTTCAATCTCTTTATGAGAAGGGTTGAGAAATTTATTCTTTAAATCACTGTGTATGCCACCACTGTTATGTAAAGATTAAGGTACATGAGTGTCCTTCAAATTTATTCTTAACTGCCATGGGTGTTTAGTAGTTTACATTTGTCATTACAATTGGTTCTCTAAAATGGAAATTACTTATGACCCAACCTAATAATAATTATATAATGGTGAATGCTAAAACATTTTGTAACAAATGAAGACATGAAGAAACCAACATTTCTGGAATGAGAAGATATCACTATTTACATTATTTACATTGAGACAAACATTCAATTCATGCAAAGTCAGGTGAATATGACAGAGGAGGGTTGGAACAGACCAAGTTCCGAAAGTTCTTCCAGTGTATTCTTGCTGTATGCATCTTATGGAGGCACGGTGGAGGAATGGATAGGAATGGTTTGGATTGAGGAATCAGAGAGCACAGTTCAAATTCCAGTTGAGTACATTACATTCACTTACGTGCTATTACTCTTGAGAAAGGTGTGAATCCATCTCTTCTACCCCAGCTATGGGTAAAATAGCAAGACATATTGGGTCCTATAGCCATGGGCAGCAACAAGGAAGAACTCTGAATTCAAAACCAGCCTGAAGAGGGTTTGGGCACCATCAAGCTGTCTTGCCCAGGAAACACCACTGTTGGAGTACATATGGTGCCCTATGACCAGAATGGGTTACAGAACCATCATTACTCAGCTTTGTATTGTCATGGAGAAGAATAACTTTTTTCTTTAAATCCACCATTTATACTGCCATTACTGTGCAAAATCTGATGTATGTTAGTCTACTCATAATTTATTTTTAACTGCCACATATAATTAGTAGTTAGTAGTTAAAATGACATGTTCATTACAATTGGTTCCCCAAAATAAAAATTACTTATGACTCAACATGTATATATATATATATTATGAAATGGACATAGTTCGACAATTATTTTAAGACATTTTTATGTTTATACATTACATTGTTTATACATTCTTTTTATAGATACAAATATTTAAGTAAATGTTCTGTTTATAATAAACAGTATTAAAGAACATTCACAGAAAATATTCGTCCTTCGACAGAATTCGAACCTGTATCCTATACGGAACCATCATTTAGCTTGACGTGCCTTTACCGATTTGGCCACAGAGGCATGTTCGGTTAGCAAGGTTGAAGTTCATAATGCTCACAGGACAAAGGACTATTTCCTGACTAATAACATAATTCTTTTAGATCTTCCAACATGTTTGCCTTATCTGAACTCTGTCGAAAATGTTTATGGGCAGATGTCAAGGGAAGTCTATGGAAATGGACATCAATTTCAAACAGTGCATGATCTTTGTGAAGCCATCTTCACCACTTGGAATAACATTCCAGCCAGCTTTCTGAAGACACTTATATCGAACATGCCAAAGTGAATTTTTTAAATTATTCACAATGATGGTTGTGCAACTCACTAGTGAGATGTCTTGTTGAGCATTTCCTACTCTGTTTAGGATTTCTTTTAGGTATGGTCTTAAACTTTTGACCAGGTAGTATTTAGCCAAATTTCTGAGTATTCAAATTTTCCTTATTAAATGCTAAGAAAATTCTTAATTTTAATTTTTCCTTTTCTTATTTTCATTTTTTGAAGCTCTAATTAAATAAGGGGTTGAGTCTAACAATATAAAAGGTATATTTTTATTTATTTTCATTGGCCTTAAGATTCTGTTCAGCAGTGTGTGTGTGTGTGTATATATATATATATATATATATATATATATATATATATATATGTGTGTGTGTGTGTGTGTGTGTGTGTGTGTGTGTGTTAGATAAATTGTGAGCAATATTTCTTTTATTCAAAAATTTTAAAAAATCTTTCAATATATGAGGCTATCATATCCTGTTGGCACGTCCACATTCTTTAAAAAAAACAAAAGAAAAAAGCATAACCAGTGATCATTGTAAAAGTGATGCAGGATATAAAAAGGCCTCAAAGCATAAAAAAAATCAGTCTTTTGTGGCTAGGATCAAATACATGGGCACCCAAAGAACAAGGGTGACCGTGCATGGGGAGCTGCTGATATTACTGAGGATTGGCTGGTTGCCAATTTTGCAAAATTTGGACTCTATTCAAGTTTACAACCATTGATAGAAAGTTGATGGAGGACCACAAAAACTTCCTGGGATCTCCGGGAATCATTACTTTAATTCAGACCGTGGTGGCAAACTAAAGATTTGGGACTTCCTAGCTGCAGCAAAGGACTCCTTCCCAAACATCAGGATGGCTCAGATGGAGTCAGACAAACTAAAAAATCTTGAAAAACTGTGTGCAGAGAGGGCCCTGGTTTTACTTCACATCTCCTTATACAGGGTAATTAAACACTTTCCCTACAGACATTGACGGCATTGTGTTGGACTAACAGATTATGCCTGACATGGGCTTTGAGAGCCTGGGACAGTCCATTGGGGTTCTGTTGCCTGTAGATTTCCAGCCAGTGTGTGTTTAAAAAGGTATCCCTAGAAAATGTCTGTCAAACTGACATGCTTAAATGTGAGGAGCTTGAGGGATCAGTGTAAAGTGGCCCACTTACTTTGTGATCTCTTGTCTTTCTATGTAGGTGTGGCCACAATCAAGGAAATGCACTTTGTTTGCAATTTTGATTCTTGGGTGTTGTTGAGCAACTTTGTTGTCTATTCAGCATATGGAGTCTGGCAAGCTAGAAGTGTTTCATTGCTAGTCCAAGTCAATGTAGAGGGGCCGGTTGACCATGGCTGATATTGATGTGGAAAAAGGTTAATTTTGGATCCTCATGGGTGGCTGGGAATGCCACACTTGAGGTGTCATCACCACACCTAGTAGTTGCGTTTTGACAGAAGATTTGCTCTGTACAAGGGGTGTTAGGGCCACCTTACCATAACTCCTACCAGTTTTGAGGCTGAATGCCAATGTAGACCCTGAAAACAATCCGAATTCTTGCTCAAATGTCAATTGGCCCTGTAGGATGCTCTGTGATCCAATGATCTTTCATGGCCTAGGAGGACAATGTATCAGGAACTAGTGGCGGTGGTCACATCAGATCTGATCAGCAAATGGCTCAGCTTGTCAGTGAGAGTTGCACTTTTTCCGGTTCTGGGCGCCAGCAGCGAATTTCCCCAGCAACCCAGAGTTTTTGCTTATCTCGCGACTGATCCAGAATGTACTATCTCACAATAACATGGGTGTCTGAGTGGGCTGGGCAGATGTGCCCAACTGCCATTGGTGTGACCTTGGTTTAAAAGAAACAGCTACGCACACCTTCTAGCACTGTCCTCAGGTGTGCCCATTATGAGAGCATGTTGGTGAGTTGATGGCTCGTATTGATCCCAAACATCTCATGTCCATTGATCTCACATACCTATGTAGTAATGTGTCACCCCCATGATTTGGGGTGGATGGTGCTTCTGATGCTGTGGCAAGGATGGTGGTAGGGGTGAAAAAAATATCTGAATATATTCAATATCTGTTTGTGAGCCAATATACCACCCACAACAAGGCGAGATCAAAAGAATAAATTTACAACATAAAAATAAAGACCCAATAAATTAGCCATTATTTTCTCTGATAACTTACCCTCAATGTTGAATAGGTATAAGGGAAATGATAGGCCAGGTAGCAGATGTCTTCACTGTGTTGAAATGTAATCTGGAAACTGGCTGTGAAGTAAGACTTACTTCGGGAACGAGTATAACAGTTCTTGTAATAACAAATATTTGATCCAGTCCTAAACCAAAATGGCCGGCCTGACAGAGCCTCTTGTATCGAGAACATAACTGGTTTCATTCCTATGATGAAAGAGAGAGAGACAGACAGAAAACATGAAATCTATGCCAACAATGATGATATTATCAAAACATAGTTGCCTAATTTAATGAGATGTCAACCCTTGTTGGGTTATCTAATGTTGAAATAAGTCTTATAGAACAAAGATCACAACTTAATTAAAAGAAAAGTACATATAAGTTCAGTTTAATTAGATGAAAAGGTCAATGTAGATCTGAATTGCTGCAAAAGGGAGACACAGGTCCAGTTTACACTATAGTCAAAAAGATAGACACAGGTTTGACTTGTAGTCAAAATGTTAGACACAGCTGACATATAGTCAAAAAGGTAGAAACAGATCCAGTTTACATGAAGATACAAGTTCAGTTTTACATTAAAGTTAACAAGGTAAACCTAGGTTGCAGTTACATAAATAAAAAATGTAGCCCCAGTCTGGTTTTACACAGGAGTTAAATCCAGGCCCAGTTTTACACTAGAGTCAAATAGATAGGTAGAAAAAAGTAAATGTTGATAAGACAGCACAGCCCAGGGCCTCCAATCAGGCTTGACACCTCCAATCAGAGGGGGTAGTATGCACTAGCCCTTAGCCTACAGCCTAATGATGAAATTAGAAAACTTTACACAAAAAAATCTTTTTTGTCAATGCACATAATTCAGTGATGAATAGGAAATCACATTTCAGCTCAAAATTCAGCTCATAACATGTTGCAGATTTAATGATCATGTCTCATAGGTATGTAAGAATGGGTTCCTCAACATGGAGTACTGTCCAGCAAGCTAATCATTACCACTGGGTCATAAATTTGACCATCATTTAAGTCTCCACCCTTATGATCTCAGTTTAGTAAATAGGTGTTTAATATACTCAGCCATTCACAAGAAAAACAAAATGATGCGACAGGAAAATTTTAATTATTTTTATTCGGTCGAGCTAGCTTGCAAATTCATGGCTTTATCATGCCAAGCATCACAGTCCTGCATTAAGGTTGAAAGGTCATTAAGGTTACATCCTGTGTCAATGTAGGCAGTTGCTGGGCAACCAGCCCATTTTGTGCCATGGCTAGGTTTCCAGAGCAGTAGATCACTTGCAAGTTGTTATTTTGCATGCCAGCAATGTCCTGCAAAATGTATTCTGCATTTATGTAAGATTGTAGAAATATCAAGGATTGGTCCATAGAGCTGTGATTTAGTTGGATGTTGTCTCTGAGATATGTTAAGTATAGCTCTCCACATCCAAGTGTAGGTCCTATCAAGCTTAGACTCAAAAGTTTTAGTTAATGTCTAAGCAGTGGCATCATACATTAAAACTACCTCTACAGTGGCATGAATGAATCTCCATTTGAGGTTTGTTTGGTAGATCAAATTTCCAGATTGCATACATTTTATTCAAGGCAGCCCAGGCTTTATCTATGTGAATTTTCACATCCTTTTCAATTTGAAAGTTTCAGATAAAACAAAATAATTTCTAAACTTTGATCTAAGGACTTTTTTCTTTAGTCATGGTTTTTGCATGATTATTTTTATGCTAAATATAATACTTTAAATATGTTAATCGTTGTCAGAATTTCTCGAATGAGAAGTTATCATTATTTACACTTTCCCAAAGTTATGAGTAACATGATTTCATAATCTTCAGATAAAAAAAATTATAATCTCAAGAGTATAACTATTTTCTACACACTACTTCTTCAGACATTTTAGTTCCATCCAGATGAAAAGATTAGAGAAAACATTACGTATGAGAGCTTGGCTCTTCTTGGCAGGAGAAATCCACATTAGATCCAATGTGCTTCAGACCATCTCGGACATGGAGTGCATCAGCAGTCAAGCAAAGTTGAATAGTACCTTAAAAATGCAAATCTATAAGACACTATCCAACTTTGCCCTATCATCAACACACGCCGTGGCCAAGACAATCAAAAGTAAGATGGATCTAATGACGGTTTCTCCTGCCAATGGTGACACAGATTTGAATTATGTCAGAGTGTTTATATATTTCTCTAATAATATTCCTTGAACATTCAGCCCCAGTAGATGAAAAATAAATATACTGTTTAATAAATACATGGAGCATCTACTTAAATATGGGTATCCACTAAAAATAATGCTTAACTTATAAAAACTGCTTTTAGTCTAACTAAAAGTAGTGGCGCAACAGAACTTTCCAGTTTGAGTAAATAAAATTCTAATAGATTGTTTTTGTTCAATAATACTTACTATAGTTGCATTCAATATCAAAAAATTAAAAAAAATTCCCAAATCTACAGATTTAAATCATGATAAAAATTGCAGTAAATATTCTTAAAAACTTTTTATACACTTTGGTAAATTTGTATTTTTTTAAAAGTCATTTCATCCCAGGCAAGGTAGTAAAGCTACTAAGACGCAAGGGGGGTTACTGAGTGTGAAAGAATAAGAAAAAAATGAGAAACAGTATTAAGGAGAGAGAATAATATAAGAAAAAGTAATCATGAAAACAGTGGATAAGGATTGACATTGCATTTAAATGTTTGAAGATCAAGGTTGGCTGACAAGCATGGAGCTGGAAGAGTGTCCCACAAGCAAGAAGTATGAGAAAAGAAACTGCTTCATTCTAAATCACTATCCATTACACCATATATACATCCTTATTGATATTATATACCAATAATCTATACATCCTTATTAATATTATATACCGATAACCCATACATCCTTATTAATATCATATACCAATAATCCATACATCCTTATTAATATCATGTACCAATAATCCATACATCCTTATTAATATCATATACCAATAATCCATACATCCTTATTAATATCATATACCAATAATCCATACATCTTTATTAATATTATATCTCAAAATGAGGTTAATCTAATTTACATGTGTATTTACAATTTTGTTCTCCAATTTTGGAAACTATATTTTTTTTATTAATAAAGTTTTTGTTCCCTAACCTTTTCCAACCTTGGTTCCTTTTTATCCAAATTTACTGAAGTGAAAAACAAGTTTCAAGATCATTTACTTCAATTTTTATCATAATTATAGAATTGGAAATTCTTGTTTTTAAACTTTCATTCTCTAATCTTGGTCACTACTCTATTCCATAGACTAGACGTAACATATTATTGGACAAATAATGTGAATCTGAATGCTGTACAAAATTTGATTTATTGATCCATAAAGGTTATTATCAATAAATTTTGGGTCTACTGAGATATTAATTGTTGAGAAAATTTCCTTACCTGCATTGAATTGACTATTCAGCTTTTCACAATTGATAATATTAAACTTGTATGGAACATCTGCTAACATATTGCTGACCTCAAAGTAGAACCATTGGTGGTGACTGTTTGTGTTGATATCTGAGCTGAGTAACAAATCGTATTCATACTCTCGAATCTGTAGGACACAAAACATAAAAACAAAGGTAAAAAAACTTACAAGCTGGCCACAATTTTTCCTCTTTCTTTTTTTTTTTTAACCTAAAGCTCAAGACAGAAGAGCCACTTAAGTTAGTTACTGAAAATGAATGTAAAAGAAAGTGATAGGCAGTGAAGATTATGAGAGTAAAGAGGATCTATAACAAGTGACCCTTGACTTGAAGAGGTTAAGATTGTAGTGTTCATGGATGCATTCCCTCAGGAGTTTGTTCCATAAAGTAGCAGTTCTTGGGGGAAAAACAGTGAATGGAACTTCCTCTTTACAATTGGAATATGGGGGAAATGGAGTTGTTGTAAGTAACATGGCATGTTCTAGTTGTAAAGGTCTGAACTGGTGGAATTAAAGAATGGTGCTCATCTGAACATTTGCCATGCATAAATAATGATAGAGTAATGGTAGGCTTGCAAACTATCGACAAAAAGAATCAAATTGACATTCAGAGTTTGGTCCAGAGATATTTGGACCCACTGTTGCTAACAATGCACGTGTAGAAAAGAAGATAACACAAAAATATCTGCCCTGACTTCTCATTTGACCCAATTTGAAATAATTAATCAAAAGAGGTTCAAGGGAGGTAACTGTAAGTGTCATTAACTGAGGCTATAATGTCTATTCTTCCAGTGAAATACACCTGGCATGAAAATATAATACAAGGTGGTAAAGGATTATTTTCTAAATTAATAGATTCATTATTTACATTATTCGGACTATTGTCCTCATATATGTCGCCATATTTATTACGTTTCGGCCGTTGTATGCTCTAGCCTTCTTCAGGTGGTTGGAATGTCGAACTTAACCCTTTATTTCGCTCACTGGGGTAGACTGTTCTAGTTCCACATGCCATGTTTAATGGATGTCAGTTATCATTTATCTTCTGTTAATTTCCCTTTCCAAGTTCTCCACTGCCTTAACTGGGTATTGAACTCACACTCTTTGGGTCCTGTCACTGGATCTAACCAATGCCTTTATCTACTGTGCCATGTGTCCTCAAGGCAGTGGAGAACATTCAGAGGGAAATTAACAGGAGATAACTGATAACTGACATCCATTAAACATGGCACGTGGAACTAGAACAGTCTACCCCATCAAGCGAAATAATGGGTTCAGTTCAACATTCCAAACACCTGTAGAAGGCCGGAGCATACAACGGCCGAAATGTTGTAATAAATATGGCGACAAAGATGAGGACAATAGTCCGAATAATGTAAATAATGTACATAATACCTCATCTCAGAAATATAGACAGATACTTAATAGATTCAGTTAATAATTCAATCATTATTTTCTAACTTAATTCATTCAGTTTATAATAAAGTGATTATTAGTTTTCTGTTAAGCATCATACTCTTCTTTCTTTCTATATCAGTATTTGAGAAAATATATCACAAAAAAAAACAAACCTTGAGTTTGTGGGAAAATGAAATAAAATCAATAAAATAAAAAAAAAAGAAATATATTTCCTCATGATGCTAGTAATAAAGGAACTGTCAGGTCCATAAAAAATAAATAAATAAAAATTAATTATAGTGTCAAAAAGATAATTGTAACAATTATAATTATCATTAATTCACTTGTTCCAAACCAATGAGAATTGACTCCACTTTTCTCCTCTACACACACACACACACAAAAAAACATGACATTCTTACTATTGGACAAGCAGTTCATGCAGACAGGTTGTTAACATGTGCATCAACGAAAATTTCATCTCTTTCTTTTTTCAAGACATAATAGTCACATTTATCTTTTCACACTCAACAAAAATTTGAAACCCCAAACATTTCTTGTATCTTTCCAACTAAATTATCCGGACACTTTTTACACACATCTATAAAAAAAAAAAAAACATACAAGAAAGACTTTATACACTTTACTTATTCTTTATCTTATTATTCTGTCAGATTTCGATCTATATGTGACCTACAATTTGACCCCAAACTCACAATTTTACTCAGTATTACCATCTCTTATCACATAACAGCCAGATAATCAATAATACTCGTTTTGCTGTTTCCATGTCTTGCCATTTCTCATTTTTTATGAGTATTTTTGTATATATAAATGTTAGGTTTATAATTATTTACTCAGTTATAATTCCCTTGCAGAACCAGAAAGAGTTTTTGGTCATATGTGCAATTTTATGACCCTGCTTCCAAAAAGGACAGAACCTTTCTCTTTCCATTTTCCAGTTCACACATTTTTCACAGCTGCTCCCATGAAGTAAGTACAATTTTGACTTCGGTCGTTCCAACTCAGCACAAAGTTGACTTGAGCTCAACCATTATAACCATTCTTATTATTACTTACTCTAACTTCTGGATAAAAAAAAGAAAATGGAGATACATAAGAGACTTTGAGAAATAGGTTTCCCTAAGGTTACTCTAAAAAAAAAAAAAAAAAAAAATAGTCCAGAAGCCAAAGTTTTTGTTACTTCTGCAATGATTTTTTATATGTGAACATGCACACACCCAACAACGCACGAACACACACAACCTTAAAATTCCATAAGTTGTATGATAAAATCACGCACCACCAAATAAATTATTACACTTGTTTCTACTAAAAACAAACATAAGCTGAAATTCATTATATATTCATCATATAAACATAACTTAAAAAATTTTTCCACCATCAGTTAATTCCAGTTTTATAGTTAAAACATTGTCTTGCATAATTAAAGATGATTTGATAAAGATTTGTGATGGTGCAAATATTTACATTTCCGGAAAAAAGAAGAAAAAAAGAATAAATGAACAGCATTTGTCAAGTTCCCATCTCAAACTGGAACCCAAATTTCAAGGCCCAATTTTCATTTTCTACTGAAAGATCAATATTTACATATCCAGAAAGAAAAAGCTTTTTACCTGAATCGCCTTTCTCAGGTTTCCACTTTCAAACTGAGAGCAAAATTTCAAGACTCCTTTCTTTTTCTTCTTTTTCTCCATACTGCTCAAAATAAATATAAGGTTATAAATGAATTAACTAATAAACAAGACAAGTTTGGTCAATCAAATAATTTTAAATCATAAAGGATGAAAGTAACTATAGAATAGAATAGAATTATTAAAAATAACAGTAATTATGATTAAACATTTTCTAGGACAGAATTATGTCCCTTTTGTTATATATTACTTTTGTTGTTGGAATAAAGTTTCTACATGAGACATATGACCTGTTGTTACTGCTGCTAATTGAATAGTGAAAGAAACAACAAGCATTTCAAGATAAAACATTAACCATATAATAATAGCGTGTGTGTGTGTGTATATATATATATATATATATATATATATATATATATATATGTTGATTGCCCCATCTTCACAGATGACTTCTGCCTTGTCCATCAACACCTACATTCAATCTAGATCATTGTTTCCTCTCGAATGACTTCAAAGGTGGCTCTTCAAACCAACAGTTGATTTGCAAGGCCTATTGCATGGATGACAGATTTGTTCTAGTCTTCACAGGGTTAAGCAGATGTTGCTGTGGTAGGTCATCCTTGTGTACCACTATATGCCTCTTCAATCCAGATGTTGATTCAAATACTTCCCTGCAGATCACACATGTAGTATCACTGGGTCATGGAGGTAATACACACACACACATTATATTATATATATATATATATATATATATATATATATATATATATATATATATATATTGAAGGTCGTTCTCAATGGATTCTCCTCCAGCTCCTACTCAACAAATGCAGGTGTTCCCAAACGCTCTATCCTAGGCCCTACTCTGTTCTTTATCTTCATTAACAATCTTCCTGATGTCATAGGTTTCCAAGTAGGTATCTATGTGAATGACACTACTATTTACTCCTGCCTCAAAATCTAGCGTCGCTGACAAAACTAACCTGGCCATTTGTCTCAAAAAGGACCTCCGATTGGTTGTGGACTGGAACAGGAATTGGCTGGTTAACTTTAGCGCCTCAAAAACAAAACTGCTCTCTATTACTCACTACAGACAACCATCCCTGCCCCCGCCCCATTAGAATGTCTGACGCTCAACTCCACGAGAGCACTTCTTTGCGACTGCTCGGTCTCACATTGTCTGCTGACCTGAGATGGAACAAATACATTGAGTCAATAGCCTCGTCCACCGAAAGGAAAGTTGGCTCCTTGTGCCGCACCAGGAAATTTTTCTTGCTGGAGTCGATCCTTCAAATCTACAAATCAACCATTCACCCTTGCATGGAGTATTGCTGCCATATGTGGTCTGGAGCCCCTTCTAATTGTCTCAAGGTCTTTGATAAAATCCAGAGATGGATATGCAATGTAATAGGTCCTGATCTGGCATCTCGTCTGCAGTCACTCTCTCACAGACATGTTGTCGCCTCCCTCTGTCTTTTTTACAAATACTTTCATGGTAACTGCTCCAATGAGCTGCTTTCAGTGGTTCCCAGACTTCATGAATTTAAGCATTCAACTAGACTGGCATCTCGCTCTCACCCTTTCACTGTTGAAACTGTTAAATGTAGCCGTCTCTTCTACTCCAATAGCTCCATGTCTCACACCTCTCTTCTGTGGAACTCCCTCCCCTTTTCCTGTTTTCCTGATAGCTATAATCTCCAACTATTCAAATGTAATGTCAATCGACGTCTCCAGATGCCTTGATCTATCCCTTATCCTTCACTTCATCCTTTCTTCCATCACTCCATCTCTCTGTAATCCCTTGTGTGCTAGTGGCTTCCCACCTAGCTTGGGTTGAAATGCTTAAAAAATATATAAAAACAGTTGTCCTAACCATCCTTTTATATTCCTCTGAAATGTGGACCACCTATTAAAGGCACATTAAGATTAAGGCCTTAAGGTATTTTCATCAACAATGCCAGAGACGTATCTTGGACATCAATTGGCACTCATGTATACCAGACACAAAAGCCCTTCAGCACACGAACATAGCTAGCATAGAGAAACTGCTTCTCTATAATCAAATACACTGGACAGGTCATTTGACACATATGGAGGATGACAGATTGCCCAAAAGACTTTTTTATGGTGAACTGGTACAAGATAATCAACCCATCATAAACCACCAAAACATTTCAAGGATGTAGCTAAATGTAACCTAAAGACTCTTGGCATTAATGATGAAGACTAGCAATGCCCTGGGTATGATGATAAACTACATCCAGCAGTAGGACCTCTAACCTGGTGGTTTTGAGGAGCATGGAATCACCTCTTAATTGTTGTTGTCCCTAGGTCCAATCTGATCCAGGGTAGTAGCATCTCTTAGGGTCCCAGCTATGGACAAATCGTTAACCCCCAAAACTGGGGTCAAAACACAATGAAAGTATTAAAAATTTTATGCTAAAAATACCAGCAATACATTTGTGTAAAAAAAATTACTAATCTTCTCAAGAAAATTAAATTTCAGCATTAAATGACCCTTGAAGAGCTGATATGTGACTAAACAAACAAAAACAAGACTGGGAAACATTGGCTGGAGATAGATCTGGTTGGAGAAGGTTGATTTAGAAACTCTGCAACAATTTTGATCAGAGAAGAATTGAGCATTCCAACAAAAAGTGCACCATTAGGAAGTGAGAAATAGAATCTGTCTCAGAGCTATTAGGACACCAAGACACTTGCAATATTTGTGAAAAAGTCATCCTCTCAGTGGCTGGTTTAGCTAGTTACATGAGATCACACCGGATAGGTCACATGCACACTCCTGTGAATGCAACCCTACCAGAAAGACCTTATTTTATTATGGAAATGTATTGAAAACGTGAAAAAATTGATGGAGACTGACAATAGCCTAATGGATTAAAACAGTGGTGTGTGAATTTGGTGATATAGTAATTGCAAGTTCAATCCTTAGGCTAGCCAGTGCATACTTGAACTCAGTGGAAATGTAACAAGCAATGGCCGACCAGTACTAAAGAACTAGACAAAATATCACTAGACATGGACAGTGGAATGAGAACAATCCATCCCCATAGATTAAATAAAGGGTTCAGTTCAAAATTTCCTGAAGATTATCCACATTAACAAACACCTGATGAAGGTTGGTGTGTACAACAACCAAAATCTTAACAACAAATGATAACAACAAAGACAAGGACAATTTAAATAATGTATACAAATTTACTGGCAAATCAAAAAACAATAAAAAAACAGTATTGTCTAAAATATTCTTCATATAGTAGATGTAGTAATAGTAATATTAGCCATTTCATTATAAAGAAACATTTGACATTCATTGACCAAGCAGCCAGTGCTAATGTCAGTTGAAATTTATTAAAATCAGTTTTCAGGAAAACAGGATTCTCATGTCCAGTAACTGTTATCCCTCTATAACGGGATAGAGCTATGGAAGAAAGATTTATTCTCCCATTTGAATTTCCCCCATTATGGGCATTATTATATCCACAACATAATAACACCATATTTCGTGGACAGAATGAAATAGCTGAATGGAAAAGAATGATAAACTTGCTTTGTTTTCAGAGAGAGTTTTATATATATATATATATATATATATGTGTATGTGTGTCTGTGTCCCATGCAGAAAACAATATATCACATATCTACACAATGAAGCAGAGTGTAAGGAGAAACAAAAAGGAAAGGTCTTACATAATATGGAGATACTCCTGTGTCTGGAGAAGCCATGTTTAAGACTCCAGATTCAAATGGGCCAGATTCATCTACCATGACCTAAGAAAGTATATATTCCACAAAGGGGAAACAGCAAGTCTTGGGTTTTTCCAAATTCAAGACTGCAAGCTGGAGTTTCTTTCTATAACTGTGAAACATATATTCCCAAAAGGAAACAGCACCATATGCTTGTAAGCTGCTGGGGAGGCAGATTTAGCTTCCACTCAGGCCATGTGACATAGGCTAAAAAAAAAGCAACCATTCGGTTTGACTGCTGTAAACTAACTGAAATTTAACTGCTGTCTTTCTCACTGTATGGAGTGATGCCATTAAGCAGCTGTCATGTCACCAATGTGACTTAAAGGAGATAATCGCCTTCTTCATCCTTACAACTCTTTAAAATATTGATGAGGTCTCCCTTCATAGCATTTTGTTTGAAGTAGTGTGGAATGTCAACATCTTGATTCTGTCATTATTTTCTCTTCAAGTTGCATGTACTATCCATTTTAGTTGTTGCAGCTGTTGAAAGTTCTCAAGTGATGTGGTTTCTGTTATTTGGTACAATTCTTTGTTTGTGATTCTGAAGTGTAACATGTGTGAAATATTATTTGATCTGTGGTCTTTGTTATGTTTTATTTCATCATATGATTCATTATGCATGTATAACATTTCTTTAATTTTCATAACCCCTCTTTTATACCTTCAAACCTGTAACAGCAACTATCATTTTTTTTTAAAAAATTGTGGTAATCTGCTCTAGGACAACTCTATTGATGAAAATAACAGCAGTTAATCAGATTACATTCTGGTCTCACTGTATGGTCACACCAATCTGTTCTCAACCATTTGAGGTTCAAGGTCCTTGCAAGTGCAACTAGGTCCTTTAGACATTTATTGTGGCTAAATGTGAAGGAGCCCACATAATATTTCAAGTTTCAGGGTTCAAAAGTGTATATGTCTCTCACTGGTCATATATCATCAATAAACAGAAAATTCACCAAGGATTGATGTTTTGGGAAAAATGTATTTTTAAATAGAAAATCATTACTACCTGTAAAGTGTTCTCTCATCACAGTTGACAAGGTTTGGCCCACAGGTTGGCTTGCCAGCATCAACATGTTGATTAAGAACATCAGTGTCATATACAGTTTCATTGATGAGGTGTTCTGGGCGCAAGTGACGGTCAATATCATCCAGCAAGTTCTCTCTGTGAAAATAAATACCAAACACATCTTTAATCAGAAATATTAGTTTCTTTTCAAGTGGCAGTCATAACATATCTTTTTTTTTAATCATTTCACCCCAAGCAAGGTGATAATGCCACTAGGATGCTGGGGTTTACAGGATGTGAAAGAAAATGAGAAGATTTTAGTAAGAAGTGATGAAAAGAACAATAAATGCACAGGATTCAGAAAGACAAAAGCAACAAGCAAGAAGTGTGAGAAAAGAAACTATAAGAATAGAACAGGCAGTTGTATCTAGCTAGTTCAACAGTGAGACCTAACTACCAATCTAGTAGCATGTTTAAATTCATGCAATTGAGACACTAAGGAGAAAAGCTTATCAGAACAATTGCAAAGAAAATATTTGTAGAAAAAAAACAGAAGAAAGCCACATCATGTTGGCGAGAAAGTGACTGAAGTACCATGTCCCTTCAGGATAAGTTACTAATCATGGCTATACAGCAAGGTATCTGCAAGAGTATTTTTTACTGAAATGCTGCCAACCATTTCTATAAGAACTATTTAGCAGAGTATTAAGAAATAGAAAGATTTTGTTAGAAACAAAGAAAAGAGTAATATGTTATGTAATATCAGCCTTCCTATATGGCAGTGAATGCTGAACAAATTCTTCAAAGATGAACAAGAGACTTGAAGCTACAGAAATGTGGTTCTACACAAGGATGCTGAAAATACCAAGACTGAACATGTGAGCAGTGACAAAGTTTTAGAGAAAATGGAAACAAAAAGGACTCTTATACTTAACAGTTGGAATTTCTATGGTACATAATGAGGAAAAAGGGCTTGGAAAGATTTGATACTCACAGAACAGATTGAAGACAAGAGGAAAACGATGCATAACATACTTAGGGAGTTTGAGTAAACGGATGGCAGAACAAGATTTAGGAGAGATAACAAAAAGACAAAATTTATTAAGAGCTACAAAAACAGGAAACTGTGGAGAGCCATGATTACCAATGTCCTGAAGGGACACAGCACATAGAAGTGGAAATTATTGTGAATTGCTTATTGTGGATTTTCCATTGAATTCATATCACTTTCTACATGCCAAACATATTCCATTAATAAAGAGAAAGTTCTACTGAGATAGCTTCTCCCCAAGAACTGTTAGTTTGTGGAACAGATTACTGATAGGATGCTTCCCTGATCACTAAAATCTTAACTTTTTAAATCTAGGATCTACCATTATCTATCCTACATCACTATAACAACCCCATTCAGTAACCCTCTATCTTGAATGACTCTTGGGCCTTCTAGTGGGTGAACAATAGTATAATTTTATTTTTTTTAAATGCACAAACTATAGAGTATTGTTTTTGTTGGTTCTGGTATAACCACAACATTTTGACAGAACTGATTTTTAACCATTTTTTTTATACTAAAGATCACCCAATGCGAGGCCCGAGAGTCACTCAAAGTAAAGGTTATTTTTAAAACGGTTATGATGAATGGGGTGTGTAATATGAATGAAAAAAGGAAGTGGTAAAACTATAAGAAGTGAAGATTATGAGGATAAGGAGGATAGATAAATTGGCAAACTTGGACCATACCCACTCAAAAAAATAAATAAATAAATAAATAAATAACAGTGTGTCAAAAGCATGGTTTTTCCATTGATACCACTATTATTTTAACTACCTTCACTCCTCAATAATTTTTATTGTTTTCAAAAGCAATGATTAGAATTTTAATAAAACCTAAACATATGAAAGTGAATTTATACATTTTCTTTGTTCTTGAGAATTGACAACAAAAATAATAAACACTGTTTATTTAATATGCCGTCTAAGTAGTCCACCACTGGCGAGTATTGTATTTTGTTGATGTTATAAAGATTACCATTTCATTTCCAACCTGCATTTTGGTTATTCCTCATTCAGTAACCCTTTCTAGGTTGCAACAGTATAAATTGGTAAATTATAAATATTGAATTGTATTAGTTTTTAGAATGTTGTATATATAAAATTATTCTTATAAATTGTCTAATATTTTTGTTGTCAATTCTCTAGAACAAAAAATGTATAAACTCACTTTCATCATATGTTTAAATTTTATTACAATTCTAATCATTGCTTTTTAAAACAATAAACATTGATAAGGCATGAAGTTATTTAAAATAATAATGGTGTCAATGGAAAAACATCTTTTGACACTCCCAGTTTTTTTTTTGTTTTTTTTTTTTGCAGGCACAAAGCTCCATGTTTGCTGATACATCTATATGAAAAAAAACGGGGAGGAAAAGTGTTTTTCTTTTTCCAGAGAACGACCAGCAGCTAGTAGTAATGGCAGAATGCCACAGAAAGAATGATGTCAGTAGTCTGAACAACTCTTGGAATCAGAATAACTCCTTTCAAAATTTCAGAATGGATAATTGGAATTTGTTTTTGGGCACATGGCATTTATGCCATTCCATTCCAAAACTATCCAAATGTCTTGGCAGATAAAGAGTTTCATAACATTTTGAAGGTTTTTATTGCTGACTTTATACAGAATCATTGCTACATTTGCCTTCCTAGCTGCCACATTTTACAAGTGCATTTTTCTGAATGCTGCTTGCTACAACTCATCTAATTCCACTAGATATACAACCTTCAGTGTTTAATCTCATATCCAACCAGTGATATCCAAAACATCATATGGCTGTAAGTGTTGCATGTACAGACAAACGTCTCATCTATGGACACCTCATCAACATACTTGGATGCAACAGACAAAATCTGCAGGCAAAATAAAAAAAATCTGGAAGAAAAAAAAAACTTCCAAATCGTCAGTAATGTATTTCAAAATTTGCAGGCTTAGTAGAAGGAGTCATATTAGTTCTTGCTTGGTGACAGTGGCAGGCCTTTCAATTGTAAACAAAGACAGAAAGTATGATACATTAGTGTATGCGTGAGAAAGTAGCTGTGAGTAATCTATTATTTTTGTTTTTTTAATTAATAAATTGTTCTGTCCTCATCATGGCATCGAAGCAGAAGGAAAGTGTAAAAAGGAAGCATACAAACCTCAGTTTCAGTGATAAATTAGAGCTTCTTCCATTTACAGACAAGCAACTTTAACAGACCAGACATTAGTCCATTGATGAGAGGTTTGTCTGTATATACACAAACACATACATGCACACACACACACACACATATATATATACACACACACATACATACATATATATACACATACATACATATATATATACACATACATATCTTACTATACACACACACATATCTTACTATACACACACACACACACACATATCTTACTATACACACACACACATACACACATATCTTACTACACACACACACAACTTTCATAAGATCTAAGAATGATGATCATACCAACCCATAGAAGGCTGTAAAGCCACTAAGACACAAGGGGTTACTGAATGTGGAAGAAAAAGAAAAAAGAGAAACCTTAGGGAGTGAGAAGAATAGAAGACTAATCAAGAAGACAGCAGATAACAATTAACATTGCATTTAAATTTTTGAAAATCAAATTTGGCTTGAAAGCAAGAAACTTGAAGACAGTTCCACAAATGAGAAGTGCAAGAAAAGAAACTGTTAGCACCAAACTTACAATTACATCTATAGCCAATTTAATTATGAATTGATGAGAATTTGATGCCAATTTAGTACTGTGCTTAAATTCATAATGTCTAGGTATTCTAGCAAAGAGTTAATCCCAATAATTACCATGAAAGTATTTATAGAAAAGGCCCAAAGAAAGTAATTGAACCCAAGATGCCAGATCAGGACTAATAATATTACTGATTCTTTGGATTTTACCAAGAATCTCCAAATATGCAGCAGGAGCACCAGACCAGATGTGGCAGCAATATTCAAATCATGGACGAATATAAATATACAAGATAGATTTCGGAAAGAAAAATTGTCTAGCATGACACAATGAAATGACTTTCTTAGCAACAGACCTAGCAATGAATTCAATATAGTCTTTCCATTTCATATCAGCCAAGAATGTTAGACTGAGAAGGCACAACGTGACTTTCATGGAGGATAGCATCAGTTATGCTGATGGGAAGCAGAAAGGGTTTTTTAGGTGATTAATAGACAGAAGTTTTGTTTCAGTGGCATTAAAGTTAATGCGTTATTTAAATTAAGTTATCATGGTTTATTTGTTCTTAAATACTGCTCTAGTACAAGAAGACAGGGGAAAAAAAAGGAAAATTAATCTTCATTTTATGGATAGTTTCTTCCTCAAAATAAAATTGCTTACCTTGACACATTCCATTTCTCAGTATGCAACTGCTCTGCCTGGGGAAGAGACTTAGCACCAATAAAGTCAGGGTAAGCAACTTTCTCAAAGCAGGAGATGCTCTTTGTTTGCCGAGCAAAGTTCAGATAAACCTGTGGGTTATGTTCCATAGTGTCTCGGAGACCAGGGAACTCAGTAGAGATGGAAATATCGAGACTGGATTCTTTGTCAGCTGTCAGCATTGTGGATAATGAAGTGATATTCAATAGACTACTGAGGTTGGTCTCTGAGCCATCGCATATTTGGCTTCTCTTCTCCCTTACTGAGCCTTTCCGAGCGGGGCTGCTAGTCTGCCTGTCTTTGAGGCGCTCTTTCACATGGGGGCTTGCAGATCTCCGCTTCATGGTTGGGCTCTCCATTTGCAAATTAGTCAAAAGTGTTGGCATACACAGAGATGGTTTGCTTGAAATGTCAGTATCAGATGGTGCCAACTTTAATTCTTCTGGTGGAGTTTCATTGCCAGGAGATATTTGGTTTTCTGTCGAAGAGTGACTTAAAGCAGAATCACTGCCGCAAGACAAACTCTGGGATTAAAAAAAGTCTTTGATAAAAAGATAATTATTTCTAAAACCAATTACATTTATGCAAATAAACATGTCGGTTATGTTTCATTCCGACTGAAAAATAAAGATATGAAGAGATATTTAGCTTTGCTTGGGAAGCAAATTTCAATTCGGAAAAATAAAAATTGTAACTACAAGAATTTATCAAATAAATATTTCTGTGAAAGGGGAAATGATAAAATATAGACTCCCCATGCAGACAATAATATGAAAGAAGGTCCCTGTATGGATGACAACATGAGAGAGGGTCCCTGTACTGAAGACAGCATGAGCAAGGAACTATGTAGAACACCACATAAGTGATATGTCTAAGACAAATTGTTGTTATTGCTGGTAAATGAGTGAAAGAGGTAATCTTTGTCTTTTTACACAGGAATTAGTACTTGTTTACATGGGAGAGAGACCCTTTCATGGGAGAATGTCCCTGTGTAGATGACAGCATGGGAGAGAGGCCCTTTCATGGGAAAGGGTCCCTGTGTAGATGACAGCATGGGAGAGAGGCCCTTTCATGGGAAAGGGTCCCTGTGTAGATGACAGCATGGGAGAGAGGCCCTTTCATGGGAGAGGGTCCCTGTGTAGATGACAGCATGGGAGAGAGGCCCTTTCATGGGAAAGGGTCCCTGTGTAGATGACAGCATGGGAGAGAGGCCCTGTACAAATGGTGGCATGAGATACAGAGGCCCTGTATAAATGTAGATACAAAAAAGCAAATGTTGATAAGATAGCAAGAGTCGCAAAGCACTAATCAATCAAGATTACCCTCACCTTATAAGAAGCATTGCCATTATTTGTTTATGGGTAGTATGCATCAACACTGGCCCCTGTATCAGATCATATATGTCAGGTTACCGCCTCCTAATTTTCGAAACTGCTCCAAGGGGACGCTCTCAGGACTATAAATACTCTGCGATATTTTTTTATCACTTTCTTCTTACTTTTTCCACTTACTCATCAACATGTAAATCTCTCATGGAGAATGCATTCCCTTTGGGAAATGTATGAACAATACACACACATTCACTCACTACACATAATTTGGACCATTAGGTTTTCACATTCATTTGACACACACATCTTTGTTTTTGTCAAATGTAACCCTTTATTGTTAATACATTATCATTTGTTTGTACATGTATATAGTTCTTGTCGTTTCTTACATTTATTTACATGGACTCACATCCCGAGTCTGCCATGTTTGTTGAGGGCATTTCAGGACACACATGTTTATCTCTCAATGGATACACTGGCCCACAACAAGTGCATTAGTTTTAATACAATTTTATTACTTTTTAGAATGCTGTAAATATAGAATTATTCTAATAATTAATACACACACACACACACACGTACGTAGACACATTCACTCACGACACATAGTTTGGACCATTACATTTTCACATTCATTTGACACACATATCATTGTCTTTGTCATTTGTATACCTTTGTTGTTAATACATTATCATTTGTTTGTACTTATATATTGGTTCTTTTCATTTCTTTTTATTTATTTACGTGGACTCACACCTGTCTGCCATGTTTGTTGTGGGCATTTCAGGAGACACATGTGTTTATCTCTCAATGCATACACCAGCTCGCAACATATATCTAACAAGCATAAAAAAGCATCTTCATAATAGATATCAAGTGTATTCTTATTTGTTTATAAAATGTCGCAATTTTTTACCTCAGTATCCTGTAATTCAGGAAAGAACTTCTCATAAGTGAATTTTAATTCTTTTTCACTTCTCTGGCTTAATTCTGTTGAAAGGTCTCTCTTTTTCAATGGGTCCTGAAAAAAAACAAAAAAAAACACAATAATCCAAAATATCTGTCTATATCTCTGAGATGAGGTATTATGATCATTTACATTATTTGGACTGTTGTCCTCATTTTCATTGCCATATTCACAATGTTTCGGTCACTGTACACTCCGGCCTTCTTCAAGTGATTGGAATTTCAAACCAAACCCTTTATTTCATCCACCAGGGCAGATTGTTCTAGTTCTGAAATAGAGGGTTCAGTTTGAAATTCCAATCACCTGAAGAAGGCCGGAACGTACAACAGACGAAATGTGAATATGGCAATGAATATGAGAATAACAGTCTGAATATTGTAAATAATGTCAATAATAATCCAAAAGTCAATCAAGTGGATGCATTCCTCATGCTCTATTCAATTTCTTCTAAGAAAAACAATTTTTTAAATGTAACAGCAACTAACTAAATTATTAGAGATTGTGTCTTTAATTTCTTCTGTATTAAGTGCCTGTACAAAATAAATAATAAAAGCAGAATTGCTAATTAGACATTAATTAAACTACTGCTTCCTATGTTTAATTTATTCAGCAAATGTATAAAAACCACATTTGTGCAACATATTGAGTAAGTGTTTAGAGCCATATCACGTTGAAACATTGGTTCCCATATAATCAATAAAGTTAAGCAGCATCAAGCCAGGTCAGCTCTTTGTTAGTGATACTGTACTACCAGTCTATGAAGTTCAAAGAAGGATGGTTCTTGCTAAAACCTACAAACTTCATTCGTTCAAAGCCAAATTTTAACCATTGATCTGAGAAAGTGGTTGTATGCCACTGACAGTTTAGATATTTCTGAATGTGTGTGGCACCTTGCATGATAGCCTTGTCAGATATCATATAGATATTTAAGAATATGTCTCAAGGTTTTAGGTTAATATTTCAGTTTTGTAGCAATTGTGTTGAGCAAAACTACCCCTAGATCAGCCAACTCAATGTTCAATTGCCTATACTAAATTTGTTACAACCAATCCATACACTGATGTATTTAAAGTGATTAGTATTTACTAATTCAAAAAAATAAATATAGCATGAAAAAAAAAAATTTTTTTACACTAAGGTTCACCCAAAACACGGCTGGAGAGCCACTCAAGGTAGAGGGTTACTGAAAGAGGTTAAGTGATATAAATGTAAGAGGAAGTGAAGATTATGAGGTTAAGGAGGAGAAATAATGATTGCCCCTTGATTTGAAGAGATGTTCAGGGGAAGCATCGATGGCTTTATTATTAAGAACTTCTTCCTTATAATTGGAATATGGAGGAAAGGAGGGTGATTCAACTCCATGGCGTATCCTAACTGGAATTAAAAAAATCCACTTTGAACATTTGCCTTTGAAATAATGATAGGTTTAAAACTTTATGACTAAGAGGCTGCAAAGTGGAAAATAATTCATCACCCACAAGGCCACATAAAAGTAATATTAGCCATTTCATTATAAGAAAATATTCTCCATTCATTGACTGAACAGCAAGTGCTCCTTCTGATTAAAATTTATAAAATATTTCTATTAAAGATTTTTTCAGGAAAATAGGTTTCTCAAGGTCACTAACTGTTATTGCTCTTTCCAGTATCAATGGGGTTTTGTTTGAAATAGTATGAGATATTAACAATAAAGTGAGGATTGAATAGTTCGAACCAATACAAGGCAGCAATATTCCAATTTTGGTCTAATCTGACTCTTGCAATGATAAAGTATGGCAGAAAGAGTCAGGTACTTTCTGGAATGGTAGAATGAGCTGACCATTTTTCCACCAATTCCCAATTAAAATATTAAATGACAAAGTTCCAGCAAAGAAATTAAAACAAATTAAAGGTTTATTTGAAAACAAGTAGAGGCTTATCCCTTGTTTCCTGTTTAAGACTGGGTTTCCTGTTGCTTCTAAAATATTTTCATTCTTCTTGTAGAGTAGGACAGTGTACTTCCTGCTCTTCCCCACTAATGTGACAATGGACTGCTCCTACTTATAAATATGGCAAGTAGCCACATTAGAGTAGGATTTTGCTACTCTAACTATGGCCTTCCTAATTCTTGGCTATTTTGAACACCTATGTATAAGTATTTAATAAACTTCTTTGTTTCCTCTACCTAGTCTTCTGTTCTTTCAATACTCTAACTATGGCCCTATAATTCTCAGCTATTTTGAACAAAAACAACATTACAACAATTCTCTTTCACTCCCAGTAGCCCCTTACATCTTAACAGAATTATCGTCTTACTAGATATGAAATGATTAAAAAAAAAATTCTCAATAATATCAGTTACTGTTTATATATTCAATTTCATAGGCAAAATATTAACACTGATTGGCAACATAGTTTTTCTAAATCATTATGTAGTGAATTTGATCCTTACAAAGTGTCTTACACTTATATTATACTCTCATACCTGTTACAAGGATGTGCAGGTAAGATAATTGTTAGGATCTCAGAACAAGAAATCAATGAGCAAAATTCAAATTCCATCAGTTTATAACATTCACTTTCAAGCAAATAAGCTTGGGAAAGGTATGAAGACATCTCTACTTCCCACAGTTATGGATTAAATAGCAGAGCAGACTAAGTTCTCTAGCCAGAAATGGTGAACCAATGACCTGCAGGTCATGAACTGACCCACCATCAACTTTTTTTTAACAATGAAATGATATCATGAAATATGGTCTGCCATGAATTATATAAAATCAATCACCAAAAATCAATGTATATGAGTGCTGCATGCTGAAGACAACAAAGTATGAACCTCAAATTAAACTATTAGCAACTAAGATGCAGTAAAAAGCTTCTCATTAAAAAATATTGGTAAGTATATAAGTGACCTATTTATGTTTATAAAAAATTTTAAAGTACCAAAATTGTACCAGCAACTATAAAGATTCTCATTTTCTCTTTCTTTTCCAGTAACAAAAACATGTTATCCACCACTGGTAATAAACCTTAAAATGTCAATAAGATTCATTATTATAAATGAATAGTATTTTAAACATGCAATTTTTTTTTTAGTAGTTGTTAGACTACCTTAACCTACTTAATGAAATAAATTAATGAGCATCTAGGCAGGAGATGACAAACCACTGACCTGCAAATCATGAACTGACCCACCATCAACTTTTTAGTAAACCCATGAAGAATCAGTGAAATAACATCGCAAAATATGACTCAGCCAATCAAATTTAGCAATTTCACAAGTTTTGTTTGCACCTTGTGTATACCAAAACACATCTAGCTGATACTCAATCAGCTTTATGATGTTTTGTACAGTTGTGTAAGAAGGTTCTGTCTTTCTTTGTATTTTATCAGTCATAGCCTCATCTATTTTTACTGTCTGCTCAGATAATTTTAAATTTGTAACTATTCTGAATGCATTTGTGATAGTTCCTTGATAGTTACCTTGTTGAATTAAAATATGAGTAACTAAGATGCAGAAACAAGTTTTTAATGATCCACAGTGAAATGAGATCATGAAATATGGTCCGCCATGAACTATATAAAATCAATCACCAAAAATCAATGTATATGAGTGCTGCATGCATTAAGCTGAAGACAACAAAGTATGAACCTCAAATTAAAACATTAGCAACTAAAACGCAGTAAAAAGCTTCTCATTAAAAAAAACATATTGGTAAGTGACCCATTTAAGCTTATAAAAAATTTTAAAATACCTGGCATCTCTGTTTTAGGAAAAAGTCAACTCTGAATTCAACACTATATGTAATCTTGGCATAGCACATACAATGCCACCATTTATAAAATCATGGAGCTTACAATGACTATATTCTTGACTGGACTATAGGTAACCTATGACTGTGTTGATATACAAGGTCTGATCACAAAGTATCAGGACTGTCGCTATGGTAATGGAGCTAAAGCATGCAGAGTGAATCTGCTTGGCACAAATTGACTGAACTCTGTCACAGATATACAATAAGTTATAAAATTCTTGCACACTGCCATTGCTTATAACAGTGTTTGGAAGGAAAGTGTGTAGAGTGTGGTCATCTCATCACATCACAGAGGATCCATCAGTGACCACAGCTTGTGCTGCAGTTTTGGGCCAAGCACAGTCCCCATCCAAGTCCAACACCCACTATATTCCCCAGTTCTATTTTCCTCTTCAAAAATCAAATCCAACTTGAAATTAAAAGGATTCCAAGATGCCAAGAAAATACAAGAGAATGCAATGAGGCAGCAGCTTGCTATCCTAAAAAAAAAAAAAAAAAGTTCCAGGAATTCATCCATCAATGGAAACAATGCTGGATGATAAAATATGTGGCTTCAGAAGGGAACTACATTGAAGGAGATTAAATGCCGAATTGATATATGTTGTAGTTTTCTTTTTATAGTGCCAACCTAATACTTTTTGACCAGACCGTGTATTTTTATTTTTTTTATACTTATAATATTTGTAAATAGTAAATGCTTCTCTTAGGCTTCATTAGAATTAAATGATAAATTCTGTTCAAATTTTAACAAGAAACATTTGCAAGATGATGCAAATTTATAAAACTGATTAAATGTTTCAGGTTACATTTCTTAAGACACCTTATCAAAATATCAGATGAAGGAGATAACCAGTTGTGGTCTATTTTCATATTGGGAGATTATAAATAGTTACAGCTGACATGCTTGTATTTTCAAGTTTATTAAAACATAATTAACATCTGACAAGTATGTCAATACACAAATCAAATGGGACTTGCATGAATAAATAAAATCAATTTCTTTCAAATCTATTGAATCTGTTTACCCAAGTTATAATAATGTGCTAGTGGTGATACAAAATAGTCATATTTGTTCTATTAATTAAAAAAAAAAAAAAACTTTACAGCTATATCAGGTTGAAGCACTAGTTCCCATATGATCTCTGGATTTAAGCAACATCAAGTCTGGTCAGTACCTAGATGGTGACTGCTTGAGAATAAAAGATGCTGTAAGGTTGGATGAGCAGGTGGTGTAATGGATAATGGCTCAGAATTGTTAATCAAAGAGTCAAGTTCCATTTCTCGTTGGGTTCATTATATTTGCTTACACACAAATACCCTTGGGGAAAGGTAGGAATTCACATCTTCTCTCCCCAGTTATGGGTTAATTAGTAAGACTTGTATTACTAAATCATTATTATCTCAAAAAAAAAAAAAAAAAAAAAACTTCTTAAAATTTAAAAATATTATCTGGCTTTAAACCTAAAAAGAATTGATAAGCCATAGAAAATGAATCAATCAATCGATAAAAAAAAATGTACTTAAAATAAGGATCACCATAAACATAATAGGAAAAGAAAGACTGAAAATTAATTTAAATCATTAATTTTATTTTTGAAGCCAGGAAAGCAATTATCCTATTATAACTCTGCTTGTTCCTTAGCATGTATATTACAACATACCAAATCTTCATAAATAATAGACTATTCCATCAAGAGGAAAGATGGAAAAGACATATCAGTGATGCTGCTTAGTTTCAATGACAGAAAGAAAAAAAAAAAGATACAGGAGGCATTATTACCTCCTGTATCTTTTAATTTTCTTATCTTTAAAGTCTGCTTCAGTGAAATGGAAAAAAAATCGTCAATTTCAAATTTCTTCATTTGTACCCTCTTACTTCTATAAATAATAACCTGCATTCATATTTGTGGTCATTATTACAGTATTTTCTTAAAGATATTTAGCCCAAATATTTAACAATACAACAGGGGAATTTCTCTGGGAATGTTATCATTGTGGAACTTGCAATAAGGTCATTCAATCATTAATTTAAGAGTTAAAATTCATCAGAAAATTTAAATAGGAAAACCATGAAATTTTCATGGGTATTTTTAGTTTCTTTTAATATCAAAAATGTCTCAAAATTTAATGTTGACATAAATTTAATGTTGATGATCTAATGATTAAAGTAATTTTTATACATTTTTGTCTTCATAAATTACTTTCTTTTTCAATTAAAGTAGAATTTTTTTTAAATCAAAATTATGGTCCAACTCATGGTGAACAACTAATGCATTTAGTGTGTTTTGTAAAAGATCCTTTTGTGTTCATATAATCTTTTATTTAAATTCCTTAAAGTCTCTCCCATGTATTTATTGGAAAATACAGCAAGGGTGTTTTGAGGTTGTGGGAAACATCTAACTGATTACTTTCCCAAGAACTACAGGGTAACAAGCTGAGAAAGAAAAGAAACAGGAGGAAATGAAACATTCACAGAATGGAGAGTGGCAAGCGACTTAAAGAACAAACTGTCCAATGGAATGACTTCACAAAACACAGTCTCATGAACTGCCAGTTTTCCTGTCGCTTTCATTGGAAGGAGACAGTTGACAGAAACCTAGATCTAGACAAATTTCAGAGAGACTCAGATCTGGATATACCATGCTATTCTGCTGTTAATGGGGAAAACCCAGATGTAAGTGGTTTTGGTAGACATGTCCGTATGCAATTTGGGACGTCTTTTGCATCTGTATTGATATATGTTCATCACAGTATTTCTTGTGGCATTTATTACAGGTGATAGAGTAAATTCCTCCTTCAAGTTTTAGCTTATTATTATTCTTTCGTTTTGCATGAAGTCATTTCTTGTTGTAGAAATAGTTGCAAATAAAATAACTAGGGAATAGAAGGAGTTTAAAAGTACTTTCAATGTATTGCTCTACTTCATGTAAATACTGAGGGCTACAAATTCCGAGTGTTCATTCATTAACACAATGCACCATTTTATTTTATTTTTTCATGGGTAAGTTGTCCAGTGGAAAACAGCTTTATTTTATACAAGTTCAAGAATGTTCTTGAAATATCTGAAATTGTATAAACTCATACCCTTGCCCGTCAGACCTCACTCAGTCACTCGTAGTCTCAACTAAATCTGAGATGATGCAAATAGTGTTCTACAATCTCTCATAAATTACATTATATTTAAAACAGAAATCTGTAGATATTGTAACTAGAATACATTGTCTTAGTAAATGCAATCTAGTAGTTCTAGGCTTAGTTCTTATCAGAGGATCACTATTGCCAGGTGGTGCTTACAGCATCAGTTGGCTTAATTTGGCAACTGATTATTTTTTATGGCTTATCAATATTTTGCAGGTTATTTAAATCAAAAAAATATTTTTTGGATTGCAAGAATTTTTTAGAGATAATAATGATTTAGTGATACAAGTCCTATGAATTAACCAATAGGAGAAGAGGTGGAATCATACCTTTCCCCAAAGGTATTTGCTCATAAGTGAATATATACAAAACTGACTGGAACTGGAACCTGGTTCTCTGATTTCCAATTCTGAACCCTTATCCATTACACCACCCACACATCTAATCTTACAGTACCTAATATTCCAAAGCGGTCACCCATCTAGGTACTGACCAGGCTCAACTTTGCTTAATTTCAGTGATCGTACGGTGTCTCAATATGATATGGCCGTAAGCCTTAATTTGGCAATATCTAAAGATTTTCAATTATACCCCTCCATGCAATACAACTGACAAAATCTCAAATGATTCAACGGATTGAAATAGTTGCCTTAATTATTTCATCCTTCTGGTCTTTCATGGCATCTTCACTTTCTTCCTCGTAGCATTGTAAGGTGACACCTTTGTCCAGGACTTCTGCCTTCTCCCAGGTATCCGTATCAAAGTTGGGTTGCATCTTGACTTAAATTGGAGAACACACAAGTTAATTACAAATCAAACAATGAGACAGCCCTGTCATGTAAAAATTTAAATCATTTATTAATATATTACTTCAATTGAAAACGAGAAAGAAAAAAAAACAACTGGCATGCATAAACTGAAAATGGAAGTAAAAAGATATTTTTTTACAATTTTTATGTTACTATTATTATTAATAAAAAATTGTAGTTTTACTCCATTTTATTAATGGTTTTTATTACAACACTGAATCGATACACTTTTGACTGCTAAAGCAAAAGTACAAAAACAGAAATAAAGAAAGATTTTAACAAGATGTGTACTTGCATCCAACTCATTGCCTTAACTTAACTGCAGAAGCTATGATGATTAAACAGAATATAAATTATGAATTTATAGTCATTTGTCCATAGGTTTTTTTTTTCAGTTCTCTATACCATTAATGGGTTGCTGAAATAGACAGAAGAAAAATCTTGGATTTCTCCACTCTCCAAGGCCCACTTTAAACATTAGTCTATCCATGATATGCTAATACCTTAACATGACAAAAGGGAGAGCTAGAATAACTGAAAGAAATTCCAAAAATGTGTTGTGCCTGAAAACATTTTATATACAGACTAAAACATACAAATATTATTTTTTCCATCCATGGCCCCTTTTCTCAGCTGTGACTATACCACTGCAATTTGATTTCTGAAGAACACAACAAAATGGTGGTAGGCTGCTTAAAATGTGAGAAGAAATATCTTAGTTTGTTCCACTCTCCAAGGCCCACATGAAGCATTAGTATATCTGTGATATACTAATGGCATAACACAATGGAAAGGACTAGAATAACTTAAAGAAACTAATTCTAAAAATGCATTGTACTTTAAAACATTTTTTATACAGTACTAGAATATACAAATATGCCATACAATATGTTATGCACAAATATATCTGTATTTGTCACATATAAGCACGAGGTATGTTAATGGGTGAATAATGAGAAGGTTTTACTTGTCATGTTCTGAGGAGGGAGGTGGCCAGCCTAACTGATACTTTCTTTTTATGTTACTTATTTAAGATGCATGGCTTTCACTTGTTCACCAAGCCACTGCTGGCTGCCACATCTTGTCCCTTGAAGAACTAACCAGCAACTATTGTCAACTACAGGTTGACACATGAACAGCAGAGCCACTTAAAACATTAGTAAATTCATCCTGTAAAAAGGGAGATCATCACCTTCTGCATCTCTACACTATCTTTGTTCCTATTACTTTGTTTCTATTACTTTGTCTGCAGTGTTGTGATAAAATAATAATAAAATGGAATAAAACTAATAATAATAATAATATGCTTCATCTAAAGAAATAAAAAATATATTATGTTTCATTTATAATCATAATTTTTTGACCAGTAAACTATTTAATCATCCCAGGCTGATATGAGATGAAGAAACAATATTGATAACCACCATCCAGTGTAAACTTCAATCTGAATAACATTTCAAATAATGCAATAATGTGAGAATCATATGACAGTCTGTTAGAGAATTCAGTGGTAAAAGCTTTTGGAGACTCTCACAAGCATCTCGTCTGCAGTTGCTTTCTCACACAGACATGACATCACCTCCCTCTGTCTTTTTTACAAATACTTTCATGGTAACTGCTCCAATGAGCTGCTTTTTCGCTGGTTCCCAGACTTCATGAATTAAAGCGTTCAACTAGGCTGACATCTTGCTCTCACCCTTTCACTGTCGAAACTGTCAAATGTAGCCGTCTCTTCTAGTCCAATACCTTCATGTCTCGCACTTCTCACCTGTTGAACTCCCTTCCCTATTTCCCTGAGAGCTATAATCTACAACTATTCAAATGTAATGTCAATCGACGTCTCCAGTTGCCTTGATCTATCCGCTATCCTTCTCTTCATTCTTTCCTCTATCACTGCTATTTGCTCTCACTCCAACTCTTTGTAACCCCTTGTGTGCTAGTGGCTTCCCGCTTTGCTTGGGGTGAAATGCTTAAAAAAATCTCTGAACCTGTGCTTCCCATCATGTGGCAATTTGATAATAAGTTATTAACAGTTAATTTTTTTTAGTGATTTTGTGTGAGTGTATGAGTGTGTGTGAGTTAATACATATGGTGCATATACAGTATGCATACATAAAAATATTTATGCATATATATGTACATGTGTAATTATGCATATAATATATAATGTATATATATATATATATATATATATATATATATATATATATATATATATATATATATATATAACAAATATATTTAATAATTATAGTATAATTCTAAAATCAAATGATAATGTTATTCCATATGTGCAGACTCAAGTTCTTTAAAAAACTTGTGCAAATATACAAAAGTACAGTGAAGCATAGTACCTCTAATTATTAGAGGTACTATTTCTTTGTTCTTTATTTTTATCTTTTATGGATGCCATGTTATTTAAAAGCTTGTTTAGACCAAATTAATGGCCTTTATGCTTCCTCCACATGAACAGGTGTTCACTTTTTGAATAAGAATTATATGTCACAGAGTAGAGGGCATCATGAAATATTCATATAAAAAATTATAGAGTGAGTCAGTGGCCATGGTTAAATGTAAATAAATGGCAGAACTGTCCAACAAACAGAATTGACAAAGTTTGTAATAAGCAATAACAAGAAAAAGAAAAGAACAGTGCCAAAGAAATAATATAAAGCAAGTAAACAATATAAGCCAGGTAAATAAAAAGGTATAATGAGGCAAAGCAACAGTAATATGGCAAAAAGTTCACCGACTAAGAATTGGGGTTGACACCCAAGAGCAAATACAGATAAGCGAATGTAGCATTCTGACTTCAAGGCAAGACAGACCATGACGGAGTCAAATGAGACCAAGAAGTGGCCTATCTTATTGGCTACTAGCTTAAAAGCTGCCCTATCAGGTAGCATTTAAGCTAGCTCCTATGAAGGGCTCTTGATTGGGCCTTCAGATTGCTCAAGAGTTTGAGAGTCCCTAAGTCTGCATATTCTCAACATTGGAAGCTATTCTGGCTGCTGTTTGATCTGGGTTTTCATTTACATGAGAATTTCTTTTCCTCAATGCAGCCCTGGCCCTTTTGACTGCAATCTTTTTGTGATGCATACTGCTGCCATATGTGACAGGCAACAATAAACTACAGAAGAACACAAAATTGATCACTGCATTAATATTTAACCTTACCTTTTTAAAGTTCAATGATAATTCTCATGCCACCATTTTAATTTAAAGATAATTTGAGGTATGTAGGTCCTTATTTTCCATACAAAAAATTACTTTTATTTCATCGGTGACTTCTGCTGGATTTTGCAATTAATTTTGATTATTCCCAAATTTATTTCCAAGTTATAAAAATTGTTATTGTACAAAAAAATTTGTTGCAAAAAAGATCACCAAAAACAATCACAGTAATGAAACTTGGGAATCCAAAATTTCAGGATTGTGGGTCTGGACACAGCCCAGAATTATTTTAATTTGCTCACAGATTTGGCTTTATTCCAAAATGGTATCATATGTTAGCCTACAGCCTCTAGGAGTAAAGTTGAAAAAGTGTGACACACTGACATTTATATTTATTTATATAGAAGATGAGATTTTTAAAAGTTAGAGTTGTGTCCCTTTGAGTGAAAAAGCATGACACACACAGACATTTTTGCATTTATTATAAAGAAGAAGAAATCCCAACATACATTTGTGTGCTTTTGCCTATAAATTGGTGAGGGGGAAGTATTTTGCAATCATTCCTATGCAGATTGGCTTATGGGCAGAATACAGCAGCCACTCTTATTTTTGTGGGGTGGACAGGTCCTACTAACATATTTTATTTTTAGTTTGAATGTTTTGTAGGGGTAGAAAAGACATTTGTGCTTCTCTCAAAAAAACATGGTGTGAAAGCGAATGCAACTGTCAGAATTTGAATTCAGCTTGCTTATTCCATTTTCTGTGCCAATGTTCATAACACTAGCAGCCCATCTAGTGTCATGGAAGTATGAACAATACAAACTCAACTTATACTAATGCTTCTTGAAGATGAATATTTTACAGTGCATTCTGCAGGTATCATTCATCTTAACACTTATCCCCTCTTTTGGTTTAAAAAAAAAAAAAAAAAATGGGAAACCTCCCCCATTAAACATGGAGACCTGGAGAGCTGTCCAGTTAACCGAATTCCTGGAATCCACTCACAAATTAATGTCCACTGTCAGAAAAATGGAATGGTGGGAAATAATGGTTTTAGGTAGAGATCCTTAAATTCATAATGGTTATTTTTTTGTTCTTTATAATTAATATGAGATTTTTTATTCATTCAATTTGTACAGACAAATGTGAAATCAAAATATTCTTCTTATGACATCACCAAATTTAAAGAATATCATAAAGGAAGGAAAGAGTTTGAAAATGCAATATCTTTGTTAGCTCATAAATGTCCACCATTACATTTTGAAGACTGTGTGCATTAATGAGGTAGAAACAAATTTTTCAGTAAACTTATAATTAAATATAAATTTTTATTTTTATAAGTATACCTAGATTTTACAGTGGAGATTAATTGGTTAAATAAAACAAAACAATAATCAGTGGTTAATTAGATGATGTTTTTAGAATCCATAAATTAAAAGGTATTTTCTTTTTTAAATATCTGTACAGATAATTTTAAAAAAAGATTACCTTTTTCTTTAATACATATAACAGTAATTAAAAAAAAGTTTCCTTTTCTTTCATATCCATAAAGGTAATTAAAAAAAAAGTTTCTTTTTTTTAATATCCATAAAAGTATTTAAAAAGAGGTTTCCTTTTTTAATATCCATAAAAGTAATTAAAAAAAATGCATCTTTTTTTTTAATATCCATAAAGGTAATTTAAAGAAATGTTTCCACTTTTTCAATATCCATAAAGTTACTTTTAAAAAAAAATGTTTCCTTTTTTTCAATATTCATAAATGCAATAGAGAAATAAATGGATTCCTTCCATTTTCTC